CTCATATAAAGCTGTGTCCTTGTCGCGTGCGGATGTGCACTAGAACACACCGGTACTGGGTGAGCAAATAAGACGTCAAAACAATACGTCAGGTTGTGAAGGGATTGTATTCTAGGAGATGAAAGTCGAAGTTTGACCAAAGCGGACGTGTGGTCCGGCCTTGGTGTGGATCCTTGAGGATGCCACGGAAGGAATGTTAATTAAAGTTGGATCCTTGAGGATGCTTTACCCCGGGATGCCACGAAAAGTTGATATTTACAGTCCATAGGAGACGGACGTGTGGATCCCTGAGGACGCTTTACCCCGGGATTCCACGGAAGCAGACGTTGTATACAGTTGGATCCTTGAGGACGTTTTACCCTGGGACTCCACTATAAACCTCAGCAGAAAGCTGGTATATTGTCACAGTTCGACAGTAAGCCGGTATACTTACATTAACTTATTCAGACTGCGGAAGAGAAGGTAGAGATGACTGTCTGGATCTTAAGGTCGGACTGCGACCCGTCATGAGAATTTATCAGTCCACGGATGTATGAGCGGGCTTGTGTTGGTGTGTTTGGATGAGTCTGGATTATTAATTGCATATTTTCTCCTTCTGTTGATCATTGTATATATCAATACACCCGTTGGAACTTTTAAAGGGAGTTCTCGTTCCGCTATGTTTGGAAGCTTCAACGTTCATCCTGTTGTGTTACACTTGGCCAGTGGCATATTAAGTTGTTGATGCCATTTGTTACATTGCGACACCCTTATTCACCTTGGTATGCTGCACATCACCACACAGCCTTTACAGCACGTCACACTGTACGCCAAGCTTTCGCTCGTCACAGTCCTCTAATTAAGGAGTGTAGTCGAGAAGATACTAGAGAGGAAATACAACTTGAAAACTTAATGATAGGACAGGGCAGACGAGGTCCTTAGCTCTGGCTGGCAGCTGGTCTAGGAGAGAAGCTCTGACAGGTTGGGGACAAACAGAGCATTGCACTTCTGATCTGTCATCTAGGGTAACCTGCTTTGTTCCAAGCATATTGGTGTTATTTTTCCTGTGGTGTAAATAAGGCAGGTTGAGCGAGGGATCATGCTGTCTGGGTAAAAATGGTCTTGGCAGTACTGTTAAAGCTTTTTTCTTTGGCTTAAGTTAGTCTTGCTCATCCCTATAGGCTGATTTTCTCATGCCTGCCTATTCTTCTTTTGCCTTTCTAGTCCCAAATGAAGCATAGGCTGTCAGCCAACTCGTTCTATCTTTCGCTGTTGCATGCATCTCCCCCCCCCCCCCCCCCCCCCCAACTTGTTAACTTCACTTTCTAGCTCCATGTTTTTTTTTTGGTCTTTCTTATTTCTATGCCCCTGTGAGTTCCAGTGCGAATACATTCTAGTTGAGTTATATTGTTCTCATGTTTTCTCATCGTGTGTTGCCTATCCAGTGCCAGCATCTTTTCCTCATCTCTTGGTCAACCAGAACTTATTTTCCTCTCTCCCAAAGCTCTCTAGTGATGATTCTATCATATGCCAGCATCTTTTCCCTCATTCTGGGTCACGTACCAGTCCCAAAGCTCTCTGGATATTTGTGGGTTTTCTAAGTACTGTACCAGTTAATGGATATTTGCCTCAATTGTTCTCCATACTCAGTTCTGATTTGACATTATCAATTCAAATGCCTCCCTCTAACTCACTATAACAGTGTTAGAAAAGTGCCAGTTACAGTTTTGATATCAGTGCCAAACATGGTCAGCCAAACAGAGACAAACAGGAGTAAACATGAGAATGAGGTGTCCGACACGGGCTCTAGGAAGAGACCAGAAGATATAATATCAAAAAGTCAGCATAGAACCAGTGCTGTGCAAAGACAGCCAGTAGACAGTTAACATGCCCTGTGATGTAGGAACACTACAATATCATGTGTCGGTGGGCAAGTCAGAAGAGCAGGAAACCATAACCGCTATCTTTCCTGAAGCAGTCACAGAGGAAGTGAAGAAAAAATGCTGAAAGATGTTAGTGACCAGGTTTCAGAAATATGTGTTATTATACGCCTACAAGTTGTAACTTTGAATCATGTGCAGGTGCCGGTATGGAGCAGCAGAACTTCACACAATCTCAGCGTTTATGGGCGGGGTGGCAGCACAGGAAGTCATCAAAGTGCTGACAGGCCAGTTTGTCCCTATTAACAACACCTTCCTGTACAATGGCCAGCGGCAGACCTCCACGACAATAACACTGTGATGTGTTGCCAGGAGGTTGCACTAGGAGTTTAGGCATTTGAAACTGTTAAATGACAAGGAAAGTTGCTACGCTTGTGGTTGGGTACACTTCTACACAGTGAAGTAGAAGAGTCAAGGTTAAAAGTGCGTGATTTTATCAAAAACTATACATTTCAAAGTAGAAGAGTGAATGTCATTGAATAAATACCTCAGAGTCTAAAAGGAAAAGAAAAGAGCGGGTGATTTGACTGTTTATTCAGGGTAGAAATAGAAAGGATGTTTGAATGGTGGAACTACGGTAGGGTAACGGAGAGAAGACTGAATGGATGTGATTCAACTCAGCCATACACTTCACAGTACACAAAACAGGAATACTCGGTTAATATCATTCAAGTATAATTCAGAGCGAGCCGGACTTTTTTCAAAAATGACCTTGGCTCCCAGGTTGACCCAGCCTTGAGTGGGTACTGGGTGCAGTCCCGGGAAAGTAAAGGCGGCCGGCGTGATGCTGACCACATCACCCATCTTGTGCCGATTGGTCTATAAAAATATAGGTCTAGCCCTATATGCCTGATGGCCTGGAAAAGGGTCCTTCTATATTGCAGAGCAGTGGGGGGAAGGCTGTTGACAAATCAACACCTGATAGTTAGAAATGTGAATGATTTCATTTTAACCACTTTGAGGGTGTACAAAGAACAGCTGTGAATGTTTGCAATCAAGGTAGCCCATGACAACACAGTTTGTACCAGTGATTGAGACAAGTCTGACACTGTTGAAAATGATATTGAGGAAGTCTGTGACACTATGTCAAAAAATAGTCTGTGTGTGACAGTATGTATGATTAGTTAAAGTCACACAGAGTTTGCGCTTATGATGTACAAGATAACCAGTGATCCTGTCTGTGCCATGTACAAGATAACCAGTGATCCTGTCTGTGCCATGTACAAGATAACCAGTGATCCAGTCTGTGCCATGTACAAGATAACCAGTGATCCTGTCTGTGCCATGTACAAGCTAACCAGTGATCCTGTCTGTGCCATGTACAAGCTAACCAGTGATCCTGTCTGTGCCACTCATCCATTTTATACACACACCAGCCAGACAGAATGTGTGGTTAAATGTAACAATTAAACTTTGTATTTTCTTTTTTCGTGGCTTTGCGTTGTGGTAATTTCACAGAAGCTATGATGTATTTGTTCCCTGTTGCCCAAGCCTGAACTGGAAATTCTGGAGAATTAAATGCAGCCACTGCCAGTCAAACCACATCATCCGCTAATCTAATCAGTCACAAACCCTTTGTATTGTGTGTGTTTATTATAAATGAAGTGTTAACCCCTCCCAAACCATGACACAGGTCATATTTTCATTTGCCATTATGACTACAATGTTAAATTTAATAGTAACATAGCATTTCTTTACTTATTGCAACAGTCACCAAAAGTAATGTCTGATTTTGTTTCATTACTTCCCTTGAAAGGGTAATTTAAAAAAAAAGAATTATTGCTGCTATCTTCCATGGTCGACTCTGTGGCTAAGTCGATGCGAACGCTTCGTAATGCCTGGTTCGATCCCAGCTGCGGGACATGTGCCATGTGTTGGTTTCGATAGTGGTATCAAGAAAGCCATGGCAAACTACTGAATGTAAATTTGTCTAGAAAAACCACACAACACCCAGGGACTGTTGGGGTAAGTTCTGCAACATCCTGTAAAGGACACGCAACTAACCTATCTTCCATGAAACCACATTTCTATACGTGTCTGAGACAATGTATTTGCCAGTCTGCTAAAGTATTAAATTCTGGTGTCAGTGTTGCAGGGTGCACTTAGGGTCAGCGACAAAAGATACAGCAGTGATATAGACAAAGGTAAAGTAGGAGATGGAACAATAAAAACAAATATTTTAGTAAGACATTTATTTCCACTACACTTACGTTTAGGGCAGCGGTGGAGACCAAGTTGAGGTAAAGGATGGGACAACAAGATTTTCTTTCACCATCCAAAGCACTTAAATCTAGTTGATCTATAAACTAGCACTAGCACCATATGTCTGAGCCACCAGTGGCATCACAACTGCCATTTACAATTACTGCTGGTAAATACTACTTATAGTCGAGTCCACTTAAGTCGAACTCAGGAAAGTCAAATTTTGGTCAAGTTGACATGACCAGCTTAGTCCCGGCAATTTTCTCTATTGTGTGTAGTGTCTGGATAAGTAGAAATCCTAAGAGGAAGCATTTTCTTAGGTTCCTGCGACTTCTACTTATCCAGACTCGACTGTATTCATTTCAGTGACAACCACTAGTATTTTCCACACACTATATGACCAACAGCTGTGTAGTTTAGGGACCACAGCTTGCCTTCAGATACAAAGGTTGCAGGTTCAAATCCTAACGGAGCTGGACTTTGTTTTGTGTGTGTGTATGGCCAGCATAATGACCACATCAACCACTGAGTACCAGTAGGTCTATCAGGGGAAACAAATGTCTAGCTTTATATCCAGAATACGTCGGAAGGCATGGAACAAAGTGCTTTACTTTACATTTGACTAGTGCTTGCTATCTGCAGAATCCATTCTGGCACAAAATAAAAAAATTCAGAGAGAATTGAATATTATGTATTCAAAGTGTAATGCACAGTTACATAACATCAACAGTTTTTAATCACTTTGATAAAAGTCAACTTTGTCTTCTGTGAACAGGTAAGTGCTTTCTGTCACACAGGGAGACAATCTTCAGTTGACTCTAAAAATCTTCCAACAGTTGTGCTTTAAACATCTGCGGCTGTTTTAAGAATCCTGTGTTCTCAGCTTTGTTTGCTCACATCTATGGCTGCTTCAGTGCTGTCCTCCTCTTTTTTGTCACAGTCTTTACGGCACTCCTTCTCTTTCACAGAGCACTCATCCACATTGTTGCATGCCTTTTTTATCACTGGAGACTCATCTGTGTTGTTGCATGCATTCCCATTCACTGAATGCTCCCCTGCATTACTGCACTCATTCTCTTTTACTGGACATTCTTCCACAGTGTTGCATGTATCTTTGATCACTGGAGTTTCATCTTCCATACTGCATGCATTTTCTACTTTCTTGCCACTGTCAGCGATTTCCATATCATTCTCTTCCACATCTTTTTTGTCTTCTTCCACATCATCACACAACTTGTCTTCATCATCCTCCACTGATGGTAACCCCTCCTCATCTTCTAGTGCAGCAGCATCCTCAGTTTTGTTGTTGCTATCAGCTTCTGGATGTTGTCTGGCTTCTTGTTTCTGCTTTCTCTCAGCTTCCACTCTTTTGTCTGAAAATGGAGGATTTAGGAGATTAGTCAGTAGCTAACAAATGTTCACAACAGTGAGTTGGCACTAAACAATGAAAGAAAATGATCACAACAGATATGGGCTGGCACTAAACAATTATGGAAATAAACAGATATGACCTAGCACTAAACAATAAAAGAAAATAATTACAAGAAATAATTCTAGACTTAGAAGTAATCAGATACTATTTTGACTCTTTTTTTTTTACAAACATCACCATCATCCAGTGGTTTCATCTGTACAAAACCCCACCCTGTAGGTTTTCTCAATATTTATCATACGCCAGATGTTCTGCTTTGTTGCCCTCATGGTTAAAATATCTGTAACATAAATCAAACTACACTGCAGTCTTCCTCTTCTTCAGGATGCCTCCCTCCATTTTGTTTCCTATAATTTTCTTCCCTCACCAACTATTTCTCTTCTGCAGTTCATTTTTTTAAAAGACATGAAGTAAAAATCTAAACTACCAACTGGAACTATCAGGATTAAAGTCAGTCCTGTGTATACATCTTTCCCATTGCAACATACGCCTGTGAGACCTGGACACTTACTAAACAAGCTGAACAGTGCATAAATGCCTTTGAATACAAATGTTATAGACGGGTTGTAAAGAAAAGAACAAATGCATCTATACTTCAAGAATTGAATACTGAAGAAGGTTGGCTATTAAAGACCATAAAACACAGAAAAGTAAAATATTCTGGTCACTTGAAACATCACCAAAGTTTAGAGATAACAATAATGGAGGGGTATATGCCCGGGAAGAGAGCAAGATGAAGCCAAAGAGAAGACGTGTGCAGGATGTGGTGGATGATCTGCAGGTGGCTCTATCAGACGCAGGACGTCTTGATTGTGTTTGAGTTTCCCGGAGGTTGTTTATAGGTGCAAGGTTCTGCAAAGGACATGCTACTGACTGAGTGACCTGCTGTCTTAGCTGTTACAGCATACCTGAAAGTCTCTCTAGCCAATTCTCTAGTACTTCCTGCTGTCTTAGCTGTTACAGCATACCTGAAGGTCTCTCTAGCCAATTCTCTAGTACTTCCTGCTGTCTTAGCTGTTACAGCATACCTGAAAGTCTCTCTAGCCAATTCTCTAGTACTTCCTGCTGTCTTAGCATCTTCACTATCCACAGTCAAGGAGGTCTGCCTCTGCCTGTTTTTAGGACAGGATGCTGTTTCTACCTGATGCTGTGATCACGTAGGATGTCAGCATTTCTCTTCTTCTTGGTCCCCAATTAGATTACTAGTTGATAAACTTTCACTCAATCCCCCATTACAAACAAGAGTTGCCCTTACTGATGTCCTTCAAGTCTTCTCCCAGTAACATCAGTGCGTGTGAGCGTTCACTCCTGGAGCCGAAACATCTCACAGAATTCTTGCCTCTCCACCCACAGAACACAACCTCGCAGGCAGGAGTGGGCTCCCTGAAAACAATCACATTATATAAACCCACAACATAGAAATGAAAAACTGTTGGGTTTAATACAATAGATCTGTAATGTCCTTGTAACAACATTATCAAAACAATTGCGAATAAGCAAACACTTTTTGGGAGGTTTTGTCTTGCATTCACAAATACAAAATAATGTTATGGCAAAAGCTGCAATGTCCTACCTGAATATGGGAAAAGCAAAAACAGCATTGCAGTAAAGGTCAATATATACAAATCACCGTAACTGTATTTTCATATATGCATGTGAGAGTTGGATTCTCATTGTGGAAAGGGAAAGAAGAGCCTAGAATAAGAACATCAAAGAATGGACAGTTCTGCCATTAAATTACAGTGCATAAATTAAGCCGTCTTATATATTAGGGCCTCGTAATACTATCTCCAGTAAGCTGCTTTTTATTAACTTTCTTCTTCTTTGTCCACAGGCTGTAAGTTCCAGCAGAAAGTCCTGGTTGTTCGTCTGTTTTAGACTTTGGCTTTGTGCCAGGGCCCATCTTTTGCGTGTACATCCATTTTACTGGCTTATTTGTGTGCAGTTGGCTGTCCCTTGCTGCTTGGGCAGATGCACTCTGGCTTCGAAGAAAGCCCCCGATTAGTCGACTCCCAAAACATGCTGGTTGGGGAAGGTAGTGAGTCTATGCATGTTTTCATTAATCCAAAACAACAAGAATTGTTCTAATTCCTGAGACCTTTGTTTTATAAATATGGCCACTCTTTAGCCACGCCAGCCATCTTCAGCCCATCTTTGTTCTTTAACACAGTACAGACAGCTTGGTGAGATAAGATCAGAAACAGGAACACCATTCTCATGTTTAATTAATATTTCCCCAGTTTCTACCATAATATGCTAAGATTTCTTTACAACACTGTCAATGACACTTTTCCCCATTCCTGGAAGTCATAATAATGATTAATTTTTGCAAAATAATTTTATCAAGAACAACACGATGACAAACAATGTTTACAGCGTGAAAACTTGAGTACAACTGCAAGCCAAAAACACAGTGCCAAAGCCATGTTTGTGTACTCGTGCACAAGGGCAGTGCCAAAGCCATGTTTGTGCACTCGTGCACAAGGGTATTGTTTCCATGGTCAAGTCAAAATTTGTCTTCATGACTAGAAGTGTTTGTGACCCAAAGTGCCACTGTGTTCAACATATTTGTAACTGTTTCATACTTGGCAGACAGCAAACACAAAGCGAAGCACAAGGGACACTACTCACTTTTCTGATGGGCTGAAAACAAAGACAGTGCTGCCAGCAGCTGAAAGAAACAAAACAAATAGATTATTGAACATTTTACACAGTCTGATTGTAGCTTCTGGGTTGTAGATTAATGAACATTTTACTGTGTCTGATTGTAGCTTCTGGGTTGTAGATTAATGAACATTTTACTGTGTCTGATTGTAGCTTCTGGGTTGTAGATTAATGAACATTTTACTGTGTCTGATTGTAGCTTCTGGGTTGTAGATTATTGAACATTTTACACAGTCTGATTGTAGCTTCTGGGTTGTAGATTATTGAACATTTTACACAGTCTGATTGTAGCTTCTGGGTTGTAGATTATTGAACATTTTACAATGTCTGATTGTAGCTTCTGGGTTGTAGATTATTGAACATTTTACAATGTCTGATTGTAGCTTCTGGGTTGTAGATTATTGAACATTTTACACAGTCTGATTGTAGCTTCTGGGTTGTAGATTAATGAACATTTTACTGTGTCTGATTGTAGCTTCTGGGTTGTAGATTAATGAACATTTTACTGTGTCTGATTGTAGCTTCTGGGTTGAAGATTAATGAACATTTTACTGTGTCTGATTGTAGCTTCTGGGTTGTAGATTATTGAACATTTTACACAGTCTGATTGTAGCTTCTGGGTTGTAGATTAATGAACATTTTACTGTGTCTGATTGTAGCTTCTGGGTTGTAGATTATTGAACATTTTACACAGTCTGATTGTAGCTTCTGGGTTGTAGATTAATGAACATTTTACTGTGTCTGATTGTAGCTTCTGGGTTGTAGATTATTGAACATTTTACAATGTCTGATTGTAGCTTCTGGGTTGTGTAACTGGTTGTAGATTATTGAACATTTTACAGTGTCTGATTGTAGTTTCAAGGTTGTGTAACTGGTTGTAGATTATTGAACATTTTATTGTGTCTAATTGTAGCTTCTGGGTTGTGTAACTGGTTGTAGATTATTGAATATTTCACAATGTCTGATTGTAGCTTCAGGGTTGTGTAACTGGTTGTAGATTATTGAACATTTCACAGTGTCTGATTGTAGCTTCAGGGTTGTGTAACTGGTTGTAGATTATTGAACATTTCACAGTGTCTGATTGTAGCTTCAAGGTTGTGTAACTGGTTGTAGATTATTAAACATTTTACAGTGTCTGATTGTAGCTTCAAGGTTGTGTAACTGGTTGTAGATTATTGAACATTTTACAGTGTCTGATTGTAGCTTCAAGGTTGTGTAACTGGTTGTAGATTATTGAACATTTTACAGTGTCTGATTGTAGCTTCAAGGTTGTGTAACTGGTTGTAGATTATTGAACATTTTACAGTGTCTGATTGTAGCTTCTGGGTTGTGTAACTGGTTGTAGATTATTGAACATTTTACAGTGTCTGATTGTAGCTTCTGGGTTGTGTAACTGGTTGTAGATTGTTGAACATTTTACAGTGTCTGATTGTAGCTTCTGGGTTGTGTAACTGGTTGTAGATTATTGAACATTTTACAGTGTCTGATTGTAGCTTCAAGGTTGTGTAACTGGTTGTAGATTATTGAACATTTTACAGTGTCTGATTGTAGTTTCAAGGTTGTGTAACTGGTTGTATATTATTGAACATTTTATTGTGTCTAATTGTAGCTTCTGGGTTGTGTAACTGGTTGTAGATTATTGAACATTTCACAATGTCTGATTGTAGCTTCAGGGTTGTGTAACTGGTTGTAGATTATTGAACATTTCACAGTGTCTGATTGTAGCTTCAGGGTTGTGTAACTGGTTGTAGATTATTGAACATTTCACAGTGTCTGATTGTAGCTTCAAGGTTGTGTAACTGGTTGTAGATTATTGAACATTTTACAGTGTCTGATTGTAGCTTCAAGGTTGTGTAACTGGTTGTAGATTATTGAACATTTTACAGTGTCTGATTGTAGCTTCAAGGTTGTGTAACTGGTTGTAGATTATTGAACATTTTACAGTGTCTGATTGTAGCTTCTGGGTTGTGTAACTGGTTGTAGATTGTTGAACATTTTACAGTGTCTGATTGTAGCTTCTGGGTTGTGTAACTGGTTGTAGATTATTGAACATTTTACAGTGTCTGATTGTAGCTTCAAGGTTGTGTAACTGGTTGTAGATTATTGAACATTTTACAGTGTCTGATTGTAGCTTCTGGGTTGTGTAACTGGTTGTAAATTATTGAACATTTTACAGTGTCTGATTGTAGCTTCTGGGTTGTGTAACTGGTTGTAGATTATTGAACATTTCATTGTGTCTGATTGTGGCTTCAAGGTTGTGAAACTGGTTGTAGATTATTGAACATTTTATTGTGTCTAATTGTAGCTTCTGGGTTGTGTAACTGGTTGTAAATTATTGAACATTTTACAGTGTCTGATTGTAGCTTCAGGGTTGTGTAACTGGTTGTAGATTATTGAACATTTTACAGTGTCTGATTGTAGCTTCAGGGTTGTGTAACTGGTTGTAGATTATTGAACATTTTACAGTGTCTGATTGTAGCTTCTGGGTTGTGTAACTGGTTGTAGATTTTTGAACATTTTACAGTGTCTGATTGTAGCTTCAGGGTTGTGTAACTGGTTGTAGATTATTGAACATTTTACAGTGTCTGATTGTAGCTTCTGGGTTGTGTAACTGGTTGTAGATTTTTGAACATTTTACAGTGTCTGATTGTAGCTTCTGGGTTGTGTAACTGGTTGTAGATTATTGAACATTTTACAGTTTCTGATTGTAGCTTCTGGGTTGTGTAACTGGTTGTAGATTATTGAACATTTCATTGTGTCTGATTGTAGCTTCAAGGTTGTGTAACTGGTTGTAGATTATTGAACATTTTACAGTGTCTGATTGTAGCTTCAAGGTTGTGTAACTGGTTGTAGATTATTGAACATTTTATTGTGTCTGATTGTAGCTTCAAGGTTGTGTAACTGGTTGTAGATTAATGAACATTTTACAGTGTCTGATTGTGGCTTCAAGGTTGTGTAACTGGTTGTAGATTATTGAACATTTCATTGTGTCTGATTGTGGCTTCTGGGTTGTGTAACTGGTTGTAGATTATTGAACATTTCATTGTGTCTGATTGTGGCTTCAAGGTTGTGTAACTGGTTGTAGATTATTGAACATTTTACAGTGTCTGATTGTAGCTTCAAGGTTGTGTAATGGTTGTAGATTATTGAACATTTCATTGTGTCTGATTGTGGCTTCAAGGTTGTGTAACTGGTTGTAGATTATTGAACATTTCATTGTGTCTGATTGTAGCTTCTGGGTTGTGTAACTGGTTGTAGATTATTGAACATTTCATTGTGTCTGATTGTGGCTTCAGGGTTTAACTGGTTGTAGATTACTGAACATTTTATTGTGTCTGATTGTAGCTTCAAGGTTGTGTAACTGGTTGTAGATTATTGAACATTTTATTGTGTCTGATTGTAGCTTCAAGGTTGTGTAACTGGTTGTAGATTATTGAACATTTCACAGAGTCTGATTGTAGCTTCAAGGTTGTGTAATTGGTTGTAGATTATTGAACATTTCACAGAGTCTGATTGTAGCTTCAAGGTTGTGTAACTGGTTGTAGATTATTGAACATTTCACAGAGTCTGATTGTAGCTTCAAGGTTGTGTAACTGGTTGTAGATTATTGAACATTTCACACAGTCTGATTGTAGCTTCAGTGTTGTGTAACTGGTTGTGAATCCTCTGTTATCATAATCATGTAGTAGGTCCTTTGTGAAACATCATGCTTATCAAGGCATGCCAGAAAGTCCCAGCCAACCTTCTTTTCTGGTGAACTTTCATGCCAGAGTGTCCTTTAGATCTTGTGTCCATCATTAAACTGTACTGCCTTCTAATCCCCAATGGAGCATAGGCCATCAACCTCAATCAACTCACGCCAGCCCCTCTATCTTTTACTACTGCATGCAGTTCAACTCAGGTCCTCACCATCTTTTAAATTGTACTCTCTAGCTCCTTTTTCACTTTGTTTTTTGGGGCTGCCTTTATTTCTATGTCCCTGTGGCTTCCAGTGGAATGACATTCTAGTTATACATTCGCAGGTTTTTCTCAACATGTGTCCTATCCAAAGCCAGCACTTTGCCTTCACTTTTTGGTACACTGGAATTTATTTTTCTCCCAAAGCTTCACATTAGTGCTTCTATCACCACATAATTCCTTATATTCTTCATAGGCACCATCTAATGAATGTTAGTAGTTTATAAGTAATGTTTTTCGGTTGTTTGTGTTTTTGCTCCAGAAAGCTTCACTGATTTGACATTAGAGTTAACAATTTTAAGTTTAAAGCAATGTTTCCCCCTTGTAAATTTGAACAAATGACTTACACATGTCATGGAGTCGTTTCTGTGCTTCGTCCCCAAGTTTGCTAATAAATGGGTTCTCTTGACTGATGGCGATGATGGCATCATTCTTTGACACTGCCACCTTCCTCTTGGTCAACTCACCAAGTAAAGTGCCCAAAACCTGGAGACAGGTAAATCACACTTCACAAGATGGCATTCACCGAAAATATGTTTGCTGTTACCTTTGAAAACAAACCAAACCTAACTTAATAAAAGCTTATAAAAAAGATTACTCTTAACGCAGGATATTTTTTCATAAATGAAATCATGGATCCCCCTCTAAAACTGCTCCTCAAACCATCAAATGGAAAATATTGGACTGTTGCACAGATCTGTCTTTGGGGTTCTGGGTCAAACTGACATTATCGTTCCCTCTCAGATTATCTAACTTCTGCACTACCCCTCGAACAAGTGGCTAATATGCTGTGTTGTGGTTTTCAGCAAGCTGCAATATCTGCACCTTTCATCCAGCATCACTGCTCATGATCTACCACTGATCTTACCAGCCACCATCATGTTTTCAACTGCCTTTCTTCCTATCGCATGAGAAAATAACACAGTCTTGTAAAGCTACAAATAATTATCTATTTAGCTATGTACAAGAAACACTAATAGTAATAATTACTTAACAAAGACAGTCATTAAACAACAGTCTCACACTAGTTAGTTTCTTCTTAAAAAAATTTTTTTTTTTTATTATCAACAAAACCAAAACATTAAAGAATGCAAGACAAGTGCTGACATCTTCAAATAAAACTTGATCAATTTTTTTATCTCAAATACAACCTAAGTGGACTCAGGCTAACAATACCCCCACCCCCCAACAAATTAAAAGATCAACAGTAAAATAATGCTGCAACAGCCGCTGACTACATACAACTCTCTAATACAAATATTCCAGCAGACATCTGATTTTTATAGGTCTGCTACAGACCCTCTATTTGTTAATAGTAAAAAAAAAAAAATTATTAAAGAGTAAATCTAAATAAGAATCACAAAAACAAGGAATATTTTCTCTCTAAATGAAATAAAAAACCACTTAAATTAGTTTGAGATCTAAGGACTACCTAGTGAGAACCAGTGCTCTAATGTGCAACTTACCTCCTGAGTGATTCTAAAATCACACTGTGGCACAATGGGAGATGGACTTCGGCTGAAAGCTTTCACTCCCATGTTAATAAACTGTGGATTTCAGAACCACATTGTGTTACTTTAACTTCTGTATATAACAGTTCATAGACATACAAGATACAGGGCACAGTAAAATGGACAATGTTAACATTATTAGTTTCAAAACATCCAGTTTTACATCTATACTGGCAATGTTGCTGTTCATCCAGTATTTTTATCCAGATCAATGCAAACAAAACCAAAACTGCGAGTCAGTAGAACCCCTGGCCCACTACACATACAGATAAATGGGTCTGGTCTGAATCAGGTTAGGGAGTTTAAATATCTAAGAAGTATGATCACGGAAAATGGTAGAATTTACACCTAGAAATAAGATGTCATAAAGCAAGTGCACTTATATACCAATTGTTACAATTATTAAGACATCCAAGCATAACTATGAGTGCAAAGAGACAGATTATAAACAGCATATTCATTCCAACATTGTGACACCAGTGCCAAACATGGACACTATCTAAAGCCCATATATGCAAAAATCACCACCTGTAAGATGAGATGCCTGAGAAAAGCAGCCAAACTAACCATCCGAGATCAAGTGAATAACGATATTATCAGACAAATTGTGGGAACGACACCTTGCACTAGATTCATTGAGAAACAGCAGAACAAGTGGTTTAGCCATCTTGTTAGAATTCAGCAAGATCAAATACCATCACAAGCACTAGATCTCAGAAGATCAGCTACAAGAGAAAGAGGATGGATGCGGAAAATATGGATTCACAACATTAAAGACACTCTACGCCTTCACGGAATGACAATAGCCAGTGGCAACCAACATGAACTGCATCGCAAATTATTCCTCCCCACAACACTTAACGGCAGTGGTTTATGATGAGGATGATTTATCAAGTTAAATGAACCATATTTTCTTCCATCAGGTGTCAAACTCGATGCTGGTTCTGTTGTCATCAAAGTGTATATTTAGTTTTAAAATATGTTGTTCACTTCTGCAAGATAGCATGGGGTTGGAGAGGGGGAGTGGGGGGGGGGGAATAACTGTTGCTGAAACTATTGGCTGTTTTCTTTCTCCTTTTCCTTCTTGAATTTAGTGTTCAAGTTTCTCAGACATCTGTACATACACAAGTTTCTCAGACATTTGTACATACACGTTTAAAAAAAAGTTTAGGACTCTTGTCCATATTGGGCAACACCTATATTTTATATTCAAATATACTCTGTCGGAGATGATGTGGTGAACATCATGCCGGCTGCCTTTACTTCCCAGGTACTTCTGAGATGGGGTCGGCCTGGGAGACATGTCTAAAAGGACCTGTGACCTTCAGATCCGCAGTCGAGCATCTAGCTACAACACCACGACGACTCCCTTCGTACATACATACAGATATTATATTCTGCACACACAAAATACACTCTAAACAGCAACAGAAATCAAAACAACAATATACCTTGATCCTGCCATCATTATATTTAGTGATGTCTCTGATTGCCTTTGATACATAGTACAGAGTTCTCTTCCCCTGCAAGGATCTGAACAAGATCTGGTTGACAGGAAAATCTTGGGCCAAACCAAAAAAGTCCCTGTGAAGTAGAGAACAGCATTCAATCACATAATGCACATACAGGCGGCAAAGTCATGTGTTCTAAATACACACAAACAAATCACCGGGGAACTCTTGGTACTACTGAAATAGTATGATAGACCTTGTTAATGACTGCACCTTTTTTTTTCAAACAGGTTTCGTACACCTGAAGTGTGGCATGGTGATTTCAGTCACATGTGTGGGGGAAAGTTAAGGCCATTGTGATGTGTATCAGGAGATACTCTGTACCTCACCTCGGGAGCAAGCTGGCTGTATGCTGGTTTTATAGATTCTCATGCAAGACTCCTACCACAAGTCTCCATCGTGCATCACGGATAGTGTCTCATAAGAGAATAAATCTAAACTGGCACAGATGTGGTGCCCAGAAATCTCCTGGCTTTCATCCGCCCACCCCCTAATGTGTGGGTGACAGCTTCTTTAAAACTCATTTAGAACATGAGTGAAGTCTGTTGGCCAAATATCCTACTATTTGACAAGCCTTGGTTAACACATCTAGCAATACCTGTAGATGGAGGGGCAAAGAGGACACCACACAAATGGGACTATGCCATGTCCCATGACACCAATATGAAAAGCTAACCCAGTAATCAGAAGCCGGATGAAGTCAAGTGTGTCAGCCGAAAGTCGCAAATATCGCAGCTACTCTTTAGACAGGCACAACACAATTACATCACCCGCTGTGTACATGCACAACGCAATTACGATACTTGAATGAACAATGGAGAGGTACACTTCCTGCAACAGGGTGTTGTTTTATAGACACTAGGAGGAAACAGGTTGTTTAACAGCTTTTGATTTTTACTGTGTCTGGTGTGTTTTTGTGTCTTTGCTTTTGCACAGATGGGTGCCAGACAGCAAGCAAAAAGTCAGCCAAGTCAAGGACACTTATCTCCCCTTTGGTGCATTGGACACACTTTATAGATACTTGAGTGAGCTTGTGTCATTAACATTATGCGGGACACCTTTTCCTTCTCAGATTTTCCATGTATCTATTTTAGGTTTAATGCTGGAGTACACTACAATTTCTTTACAATACATGCTCTAAAAAGTCAGCGGTTCATTTTAGGATTGTGCCACTTGTTTCACATGCACAATTCTTTCCAGGACACACACACAATCAAATCAATAAAATTAGGAGTGCATGCATCAAGGTTTTTAACCAGCATCAAAGTTCTAACCAGCATCAAAGTTCTAATCAGCATCAAAGTTCTAATCAGCATCAAAGTTCTAATCAGCATCAAAGTTCTAATCAGCATCAAAGTTCTAATCAGCTGTGCACTCACCTGATTGATGGCCAGATTGGGTCGCTCTCTTCCATGAACAAAAATGGATCTTCTTTATAACCGTGCAACTTTTTCTTTTTGGATTGTGGCCTGCAAAACCAATTGCATTCTTATCATTATAAAAAATATACACACACACACACACACACAAACATACATGTACACACATATTTATTCACACGGAACGAGATCATTTGAAGAATGAAATTAGAAAAGATAAAACATTAAATTTCCAAATGATGGGAGAACTGCTGATCCAGGTGGTAAATCCCCCCCCCCCCCCCCCCCAATAGTTATTGATAGCAAAACATGAAGTGAATTACTGGAGACATTATTTAGGAGGATCTATGAGCTTGAAGAAAAACCAGCAGACTGGAAGGAAGCTGCCAGCAGACATAGAAGAAGACAATATGACAACAATGACATTTGATGCTTGCCCTGAAACTGTTCATCACCTGATGAGCCTATGATCAATACTTTATGGCCGCCTCAATTTTTCTGGATATTACTTGCCATCACATTCCTGATTGGGCTAACCTTGGAGTCCAAGTTAATCTTTATCTTCTTTGGACAGAGATCTTAACCTATGACCAATAAGTTGGCAGGCAAGCGGGATACCACTTGTCCAAATATAAATCTATTTGACAATCAAAATCAACTGGTCTAAAAACAAAACATGATGTGTCTGAGTTGTTTTCTCATGCCCTTTTCCTGGATAAACATATATGAGAATTTTTTTCACAAATGTTGATGTTGCACATAAATGAAACAAGCACTATAAGACAAACTACCAGGTCCACATAAATAAAACAAGCACTATAAGACAAACTACCAGGTCCACATAAATGAAACAAGCACTATAAGACAAACTACCAGGTCCACATAAATAAAACAAGCACTATAAGACAAACTACCAGGTCCACATAAATAAAACAAGCACTATAAGACAAACTACCAGGTCCACATAATAAAACAAGCACTATAAGACAAACTACCAGGTCCACATAAATAAAACAAGCACTATAAGACAAACTACCAGGTCCAACATAAATGAAACAAGCACTATAAGACAAACTACCAGGTCCACATAAATAAAAACAAGCACTATAAGACAAACTACCAGGTCCACATAAATAAAACAAGCACTATAAGACAACTACCAGGTCCACATAAATGAACAAGCACTATAAGACAAACTACCCAGGTCCACATAAATAAAACAAGCACTATAAGACAAACTACCAGGTCCACATAAATGAAACAAGCACTATAAGACAAACTACCAGGTCCACATAAATAAAACAAGCACTATAAGACAAACTACCAGGTCCACATAAATAAAACAAGCACTATAAGACAAACTACCAGGTCCACATAAATAAAACAAGCACTATAAGACAAACTACCAGGTCCACATAAATGAAACAAGCACTATAAGACAAACTACCAGGTCCACATAAATGAAACAAGCACTATAAGACAAACTACCAGGTCCACATAAATGAAACAAGCACTATAAGACAAACTAACTCCAGTACTTACCCATCTTCCGTCTCAGCTCCTTTCCTCTTTCCAGATGTTTGTGTAGACAGGGACGAAGACTCATTGTCCTGCTTGTCCACTTCCTGGCTGACCTCAGGAGTCTCCTGGACTGTAGCTGACCACACACCAGGTGAAAACATCACAGTGATAAACACAAGACTGCTCACATAACATAGTTTCACTAACATACACATGGAAAATACAAAAATAAAACAAAAAACTTTTGGCTTTCTGACACCCACCCCTCCCAACCTAATTTTTTTCCTTCTTAAAAAAAAAAGGACACTAACTTTTATTTCCTTTACAAAAACTAAAGATGTCCCTTGTTCTGTCTATATTCTATTATCTTTGCATATCTTCACTATTATCATTATATATATCTCTCTTTTACTCTCTATCACATCTATTACAACGATATTTTATCAAGAGCAAGCTGCACTAAATGGCCACATACTGACTTTGTATTTCAAATACTCACTGTACATGTGAAAATAACAAATGTTTCATGCTTTCCAACTGAATAATCGACACTTACATGATTGGGCCGCCTCTTGCTTTAACCTGGCCTCCCTAGAAGCTGGCAAATGCCTGACTTTCTGCAGGGCAGCTATAAAAAACCCGCCCGTATCTTGCTGATGTGGTAGGATCCTCATGCTGGATGACATGTACAAAATGTTACTGTTTGTTTGTTACAACAAAAACAAGAAACTGAAATCATTATGCTGAAGTAAAATACTGCCTCAAAAAAAACCATGTGTGCTAAGTTTAGCCAAAGACAACTGGGCTGAGTCAGCATGAGCACAATTTGATTATGAGTGGCAAGCTTCGCTTTGGGGCTCACGACCAAAGAGAATTATCGGAATCTTTTCTCCTGGATATGCTGGTGTGTTGGGAAATGAACAGGCGGACAGACTGATGTGTTCTGTACAACTTGGTGGGAGACTGATGCATGACAAGGCAGACGTGGTTAAGGCCTTTTGGAAGCACATATACTATTCGGAACAGCAAAACGATCATCAGTCTGGTGAGAATGATGCAGCAACGAGTGACGAGAATCCGACCGATACTCGACACTCAGAGAAAAGACAAAACCGATGATGACAACAGATCTACTGCCTTCCTAACAAGCATGTCATCCAAGACAACTAATTAGAGTTTCCTTCAAAGTCAGAGTGTATGTGCCTGAGAGGCAAAGAACCAACAGTCTGCATACAAATAAGCCAGATCCGTCAAACAGACGTGAATGCAAAACTCAAGTTCTGGAACAAAACTTAAGTCTAGAACAATCAGAATCTTCCTCCAGAGTTGACAGCTGGTAAACGCAAAGAAATGACATATTCTTCGTCATGTTGAATAACTTAACACAAATGTTTAACATCTCTCAAATAACTGAACCCTTCATGCTAAGAACGGGAACAAAAGAGAACTATAAATACTGACACATACATAAAACTTAAATGAGCAATCCTTCTTCCCCTTCTTTTCAAGCAATATGGCATCGGTAGTCATGTCTATCAACAAATTTCTGTCTCGTGAGCTTCCAATCATTTATAGCCACTGTATTTCATTTACAGCAGTCAAAGCTTATGGCTAGTTATGTCAAGTTTGTTTACTTATGCCCATCAGTTGATATTCCCGGCATATCTTGTCTGAATCTCATTACTGTTTCATTGTACACATGGTATAAATCCGGTGTTCCAACCTGGTTGTCTTTACAGCTGCTTCCTGTTGCCAACATTTTTTTTATTTATCAGATCTTTAGCATCAATGTTGAAGCTTTCCAGGGTTTTAAAATTTCTTTATATTTCACTTTATCAAATTTGTTAGTGTATTTAACAAAGCACAAATACTGAGTCCAAATAGACAAACTACAAATACTGATCATGAAAAAAAAATTTAAAAAAAATATGGACTCACCATCTGTCCAAATGAAACTGCTGTGCCTCCTCCGCTGTCGGAGGAAAGATGGTGTGCTTAAACTGGGTCTGCATGGGTGCAGGGATCTCTGCAGGAGTGTGGATCCACTCTCCAGTTTTTGTCATCACCTGTGAGAGATAGTTTCAACACATGACCAAGAATATCATTGAAATTACTAGAAAGTTGACTGTCACACATTCTAGCATCGGTGAATGATAGATTTATAAACTTTTCGTTCGGTTTTATATCTTTTCTTGATAGATTTGGGAGTCACTCGTGGCCGAGCGGCTAAACGCACATTGCCGATCGGAAGGTCGTGGGTTCGCTCCCTGGCAGAACCAGACTTTTTTCAAAAATGACCTTGGCTCCCAGGTCGACCCAGCCTTGAGTGAGTACCGGGCGCAGTCCCGGAAAAGTAAAGGCGTCCGGCATGATGCTGACCACATCACCCATCTTGTGCCGATTGGTCTATAAAAATATAGGTCTAGCTCTATATGCCCTGCACGCCTAAAGGCGCGGAAAAGGGTCCTTTACTTTGATAGATTTTTTGACACATTCAATGCTGCATTGACACCAAAGATTCATAAATATGAGGGTCACAAACCAAGTTAAAAGACTGAGTATAGACAGCCATGTAGCTAGTGTCTGGATCCTGTCCTCAAACACACAAATCATGTGCTTGGAGTATTTATTATTCACACACATAAACATCTAGTGTCTAGAATGTTTTCTCTCTCTCTCTCTCTCTCTCTCATGTACAAACTCCAAAAACATTTTTCTCACACATTCACACTTAGTGCATGGAATATTTCTTATTCATAAACATACTGAAGGGCTTGGAAAAAAACGTATCACATACCACTAATGCTTTGCGAATATTTTATATTCCTAAACACAGTGAATGACAAGAATTTATCATTCACATATGTATAAGTATATGAAAAAAATAATTCTGTGGGGCAGGAAACATGTCTTAACAACAACAATTTAGGTACCTTCCAAAGACAAAATATACAACACAGACATACTTTCCAAAGAAGAATGTCTTACAACAACACAAGCGTACCTTCCAAAGACAAAATGCACAATAACACAAGCGTACCTTCCAAAGACAAAACGTACAATAACACAAGCGTACATTCCAAAGACAAAATGTCTTACCAGGCGGGCATACCTTTCAACAAAAACAAAGTGTACAACAACACAGACATACCTTCCAGGTTGACAGCCCTTTAACAAACTTCAGACCTGGCAGCAAGTCATGGATGTCTACCAGCTCCATGGCTCCCTCTGAACTCCTCAACATGTCCGCAATGACAGCTTCGTCCTCGATGGGGTTGAGGGAGCATGTGGAGTAGACAATGCGGCCATTTTTCTCCAGCAACTGACAGCCTCGACGCAGCAGCTTGCATTGAAGTCTGGGGAAACAGTGGCAGATGGTGTTAGCCCATTAACATGTTACATAGAAAGATATTCCACTTGAAGCCAGAAGGGGACAGAGAAATACGTTTTGATTTTTTTTAAAATAAAAGACAAAAGATTCTTGTCATCCACAAAATACAACATCAATAACACAGGCTCACAAAGCCAGCACTAAGAGTTTAACTGCAGCTCCTCCAAACATCCCCTGGTGAGGTATTCACAAGTAGAAGTAATAAAACAGTACTTCAAATCTGACAACAGACACAACAAGACATAGCAAATATCTGTAGTAACTGCTGATGATGAACTGCATTTCTTGTGTCAGATTGTTATGTGTTGGCACTTCTGACGGTTGCCCTATACATTTAATGTGTATGGCTTTGCTGAGACTGCGGCCTGTGTCCATTTTTTTTCACAAGGGACAGCGATGGACATTCTGTGTGGGTTTTCACTAGCACAGACATGCAGCAACTATATGTTGATCTGTCTGATCTATGATGTTGAAACAGTGACTGCCTATTTAGCAGATTGATCTTTGCCATTTACACTCGATGAGAAATCACAGCTTTATCCTCTCCATTCACACAACAAAAAAGAAATCACAGCTTTATCCTCTCCATTCACACAAGATAGGAAATCCACAGCTTTATCCTTCCCATTCATGCTAGCAACGACAAACGCTCAGACCACAAAGAGCCAGTCAATTGAGATCAGGTTGACAATGTGGTCAGATGTATGTCCCAGACACACAGTGGGACAAGTGGGTCAGCTCTAACCCAACAAGCACATCAGTGCCCGACTCAAGAAGTACTGCTGCTTCTTACCCATGCAGGTTAGCACCCTGTAGGGGGTGCCACTTGTTCCACACATCAAAGTTCTTCCTCATGGTGCCGTCTCCACTGTAACAGAAGAATGTCAGTCAATATGTAACAAACGCGGATTATAATCTGTAACCAACTATCGGTACACATATAAACATAACCATATATAACACCCATAATCACAAGCATGGCACCATGGGTAACGGCTTACATTTCAAGAGTGCCAGTGCATGCGCTATATCTAACCTGTGTTGTTGTAGATACATGAGACAAATGAGCAGGACCCAGCAAAGCTAAAAAACATTTACTCGTGGCGAAGATAAGGTTTGTGAAAAGAATGTAAAGAATTACAAACAAGGCTTTTCAAGATAGATGAAATTCGTAAGCTGAGGAGAAAAATTAGACATAGACAGTCTTGTGTTATTTCAGAAAAAAAAAAGAAGTAACCAGGAAATTCAGCCAACAATCAAGGAAAGGGCAAGCACACCAGAATTGGTACCGGCTGCTGAAGACAGCATTTATGGTAAGTTCCAGAGTGTTGTGACCGGTCCTTAGCTCAACAAATATACCACAGTTTTTTTACCATCACACAGCGGACACACACAACACAGTTCCCTTACAACCACACAACTGACACACACAACACAGTTCTTGTATAACCACACAGCAGACGCACACAACACAGTTCCCTTACAACCACAGAGTTCCCTTACAACAAATACACCACAATTCTCTTACAACCACACAGCCGACACACATAACACAGTTCCCTTACAACATATATACCACAGTTCTCTTACAACCACACAGCTGACACACACCACACAATTCCCTCACAACCACACAGCTGACACACACCACACAATTCCCTCACAACCACACAGCTGACAAACACAACACATATACCACAGTTCTTATCCAACCACACAGCTGACACACACCACATAGATTGCTGCATAACACACACCCTTTCCACCACTACATAAAATACATACGACTTACTTTCCCCCCTCCCAGACCTATTTTAGAAACAAGCAAAGTATTATGTGCTTTATATAAATAGTTACATGTGAAATCGTTGTAAATTATACTGACAAACAAACTACTCTGCATATCTTGTTTGTTAACAAGCTGTAAGCTATGTTCAAAAGTCATTATTTGCTCATTCAGACTTTGGTTTTGTGCCAGGGCCTGAGTTTTGCGAATACACCCGTTAACTGGCTTATTTGTGTGCAGTTGGCTGTTACTGGCCGCCCCCAATCAGTCGACTCTTACGTCATCCTTGTTGGGGAGGCAGTGGGTCTATTCTTGTTATCCCAACAATGGGACCTCGGAACCTACAGAGGAAATCTTTGCATATAAGAATCTGATTGTGCTACAAAAGTGTGATGGTCTTCACCTGCCATCTAAATGGCAACAGGTCATCTACGCTCTTAAAACATTGGCAATATTTACACTATCAAAACAGGTCTGCTTTATTTCGACACTTTTTTTTAACAAGATCACATACACACTTGCTATCTACTGACCTGCAAGGAACATCACAAAGGACGCGATCAAACAGATGAAACTCTGGGCTCTTGTCCTATAAACAAAAAAAAAAAGGAAAAATTACAGCGATGCAATTCTGAGCTTTTACAATACCAAAATAACAAGAGTGTTATATAACTGCAGTAATGAAAGTGTCATATATAATTGCAGTAATGAAAGTGTTATTTATAATCGCAGTAATCTTCTTCTTCTTCTGCGTTCACCCGAAGATGTAATTGCATTGTGCCTGTTTACAGCATGGCTGCGATATTTGCACCTTTTGGCCAACACATCCGACTTCTGCGGGCATTTGTTGACCCGGTTAGCCTTCCTGGTTAACCGCAGTAATGAAACTAGGGCCTTTTTTTGCTGTATCAACACAACAATAGAAGAGCATAAATGCAATGATGAAACTGAATTTATCATATCAGGGTTGAACAGGAAAGAAAAATTGGACAGCCTCGATGTGAGGCGCATGAATAAGTTAAGATTAGAAAGCCTCTTTATCCGCACCAGAAAAAAATGAAAGAGGAAACAAGAATGTATAATAAGCCTAACAAAACAGCTCAGAATAAAAGAATAGAATAAACAGAGAGCTTCACACAATAGACTCAGTAGAAGAGGTAGAAATATGTACGACAATGAAAGCCTACTCACATCATTATTGGCCCGGATCTTAGGGAAATTGGTGCCATCATGGTTGACAATCATACAGCATGGACTCTGCAGCCGCTTGACCTGGTGCACCATGAGGTAACATCTCTTGTTGTCAGTGTCATTAGCAATGACATAACCAGTTGGCAACTCACCTGAAACAGCACAGATATAACAAACGGTTGAGAACTCACTTGAAACACAACAGCATAGATAAACAACTGGTTGAAAACTTACCTAAAAACAATCACCTTAATTTCAAGTTAACTAAAGATGACTACAATTATATTGAAAATCCCTCAATGAAATCAGTACACTAAACTTATGTTGCTGCTTATCTCACAATGACTGCATTATGTTGAACTTATGTTGCTGCTTATCTCACAATGACTGCATTATGTTGAACTTATGTTGCTGCTTATCTCCCAATGACTGCATTATGTTGAACTTATGTTGCTGCTTATCTCACAATGACTGCATTATGTTGAACTTATGTTGCTGCTTATCTCACAATGACTGCATTATGTTGAACTTATGTTGCTGCTTATCTCACAATGACTGCATTATGTTGAACTTATGTTGCTGCTTATCTCACAATGACTGCATTATGTTGAACTTATGTTGCTGCTTATCTCACAATGACTGCATTATGTTGAACTTATGTTGCTGCTTATCTCACAATGACTGCATTATGTTGAACTTATTTTGCTGCTTATCTCACAATGACTGCATTATGTTGAACTTATGTTGCTGCTTATCTCACAATGACTGCATTATGTTGAACTTATGTTGCTGCTTATCTCACAATGACTGCATTATGTTGAACTTATGTTGCTGCTTATCTCACAATGACTGCATTATGTTGAACTTATTTTGCTGCTTATCTCACAATGACTGCATTATGTTGAACTTATGTTGCTGCTTATCTCACAATGACTGCATTATGTTGAACTTATGTTGCTGCTTATCTCACAATGACTGCATTATGTTGAACTTATGTTGCTGCTTATCTCACAATGACTGCATTATGTTGAAACTTATGTTGCTGCTTATCTCACAATGACTGCATTATGTTGAACTTATGTTGCTGCTTATCTCACAATGACTGCATTATGTTGAACTTATGTTGCTGCTTATCTCACAATGACTGCATTATGTTTGAACTTATGTTGCTGCTTATCTCACAATGACTGCATTATGTTGAACTTATGTTGCTGCTTATCTCACAATGACTGCATTATGTTGAACTTATGTTGCTGCTTATCTCACAATGACTGCATTATGTTGAACTTATGTTGCTGCTTATCTCACAATGACTGCATTATGTTGAACTTATGTTGCTGCTTATCTCACAATGACTGCATTATGTTGAACTTATGTTGCTGCTTATCTCACAATGACTGCATTATGTTGAACTTATGTTGCTGCTTATCTCACAATGACTGCATTATGTTGAACTTATGTTGCTGCTTATCTCACAATGACTGCATTATGTTGAACTTATGTTGCTGCTTATCTCACAATGACTGCATTATGTTGAACTTATGTTGCTGCTTATCTCACAATGACTGCATTATGTTGAACTTATGTTGCTGCTTATCTCACAATGACTGCATTATGTTGAACTTATGTTGCTGCTTATCTCACAATGACTGCATTATGTTGAACTTATGTTGCTGCTTATCTCACAATGACTGCATTATGTTGAACTTATGTTGCTGCTTATCTCACAATGACTGCATTATGTTGAACTTATGTTGCTGCTTATCTCACAATGACTGCATTATGTTGAACTTATGTTGCTGCTTATCTCACAATGACTGCATTATGTTGAACTTATGTTGCTGCTTATCTCACAATGACTGCATTATGTTGAACTTATGTTGCTGCTTATCTCACAACGACTGCATTATGTTGAACTTATGTTGCTGCTTATCTCACAATGACTGCATTATGTTGAACTTATGTTGCTGCTTATCTCACAATGACTGCATTATGTTGAACTTATGTTGCTGCTTATCTCACAATGACTGAGTCGGTGTTGTCCTTGCGTGGGTTCTAGGTTCCCATTTGGAGCAAAAAAAATGTGCATCATATAAGGCAAGCTTCCTTTATACTCAGAGTGCATCCTCCTGAGAGGCGAGGAATCAACAGTCTGCATAGAGATGCTCAACAGTCCCAGAGTGTTGCACAACAGATGTTCTTTCAACAGTCCCAGAGTGCTACACAACAGATGTTCTTTCAACAGTCCCAGAGTGCTGCACAACAGATGTTCTTTCAACAGTCCCAGAGTGCTGCACAACAGACGTTCTTTCAACAGTCCCAGAGTGCTGCACAACAGACGTTCTTTCAACAGTCCCAGAGTGCTGCACAACAGATGTTCTTTCAACAGTCCCAGAGTGCTGCACAACAGATGTTCTTTCAACAGTCCCAGAGTGTTGCACAACAGATGTTCTTTCAACAGTCCCAGAGTGTTGCACAACAGATGATGTTCTTTCAACAGTCCCAGAGTGTTGCACGACAGATGTTCTTTCAACAGTCCCAGAGTGTTGCAGGACAGATGTTCTTTCAACAGTCCCAGAGTGTTGCACGACAGATGTTCTTTCAACAGTCCCAGAGTGTTGCACGACAGATGTTCTTTCAACAGTCCCAGAGTGTTGCACAACAGATGTTCTTTCAACAGTCCCAGAGTGTTGCACAACAGATGTTTTTTCAACAGTCCCAGAGTGTTGCACAACAGATGTTCTTTCAACAGTCCCAGAGTGTTGCACAACAGATGTTCTTTCAACAGTCCCAGAGTGTTGCACGACAGATGTTCTTTCAACAGTCCAAGAGTGTTGCACGACAGATGTTCTTTCAACAGTCCCAGAGTGTTGCACGACAGATGTTCTTTCAACAGTCCCAGAGTGTTGCACAACAGATGTTCTTTCAACAGTCCCAGAGTGTTGCACAACAGATGTTCTTTCAACAGTCCCAGAGTGTTGCACGACAGATGTTCTTTCAACAGTCCCAGAGTGTTGCACAACAGATGTTCTTTCAACAGTCCCAGAGCGTTTCACAACAGATGTTCTTTCAACAGTCCCAGAGCGTTTCACAACAGATGTTCTTTCAACAGTCCCAGAGTGTTTCACAACAGATGTTCAACAAAGTCAATAAACTCCAATTACTTTCAATCAAGGAGCGGCTGGTTGATTGGTTAAGAATGTCAGGCTTTTATGCACAAGAACCAGTTCATATCTTCGGTCAGGGAGTAGATTTCTTCTGGCAGGTGCAAAAATAAAATTCTCAACTGCACAGCCCATGGTGACTGCAACAGACATTACTGTACTGACAGTAAACACACACAGAAGTACTGACAGTAAACACACATAGAAGTACCGACAGTAAACACACACAGAAGTACCGACAGTAAACACACACAGAAGTACCGACAGTAAACACACACAGAAGTACAGACAGTAAACACTCACAGAAGTACCGACAGTAAACACACACAGAAGTACTAATACAAAAGAATACAAATACCAAATGAAGTATGTCATTTAATAGTTGTATACTAAATTCTTATTACCATAAGCATGCATTATCTCAGAAGGCTGTTTGTCAATCTCCTGATATTATCCCACTTGTTTCACTGTCTATCTCCTACCCTTATCTTTACCCTACAGTAGTTTTTATTGTATCTGTAACTTTCAAAGAGGATAGATAAAGTGTCCAGCCTTAAGTGAGGCTGATTTCTTAAGTATGCTCTGACCAAATGTGGAAAGTAAAAGAACACAGGCTAATGTGTGAGGTTCAGGGCAAGAGTGCTGACTGGCACTGAAAGAGTGAAATCATCTTCTTCAAGTTCACTGGCTGTAAACTCTGGCAGGAAACTGTAGTTGTTCAATCACCCCGCGATTAGTGGGCTTTTACAACATGCTTGTGGGGGAGGGGGGGCTGGGTGGAAGAGGGGGGCGTATTCCCCCACCCACCCCAAATGTGGCGCCAAAACCCAGGCTAGGAGAAAAGAGTAAAGTGACTACAAAAGTATGAACAAAAGCATCAACAAGTCAATTACCCTCAGGACTAGTACTGTGTAGATACTCTATCAGCTGTGCAGTCTTGGAGCCAGGGGAGGCACACATGTCCAGAATCTGCAGACATAAAGAAGAGTCTGAAGTGATGAACTGTTGACATCAATACTTTAAACATGAAGGAAACATTCAAAAGATCAGCTATCTTCTCCTTCTTCTGCAGCCACTGTAAACAGGACTGTTGGTCTGTTGTATTGTGGCTTACAGCAATAGCTGTGAGCCAATTCCAGCAAACTCCGAATATGTCAACTATTACAATATGTGTGTGGGGGGCAGTTCTCTTGCGATGGGAGATGCCTGATGTGTTGTTTTTAAATTGTTCATTTGCTATGAAAGGCTTGTTTTCCCTCTGTAGAACAGCTGGTAGTCTGTGACAGCGTTGCACAAAGCACAAACTCTGTAGCTCCAATAACAATGCCATCAATCTCCAAAACACATGTATTTAGAAATTCTTCTTCACATTCACGGGCTTGTAAACACTTGATTTCATCCACCTCAGGTCTTAGTGCAGAACCTAAGCGCTGTGTGCACGTCCATTTTACAGATCTGGCTCATTTATTTGCAGGCCTTTGGTCCTCTGACTTCAAAGGAAGCTCCCAGTTAGTCACCTCCCTCGTATGACATGTTTGTCGTGGAGACAGTGGATCTATTCTTGTACTCCGCACAATGGGGCTCTGGAATTCAAATAGCGATTACTTCGGAAGTGAAAGATGACAAACACCACTGAATCAACAAACTTCAGAATGATGGACATCCTTGCACTTGGAACATTCCTAAAGGGGCTCAGTCTCCTTCCCAAGCTAACAGTGCCAGCGGCACCAAGACTAACAGTCCCCCTGTTTTACCTGACTATTGTCCAGAACCTCTACTCAGGCATGCTGAATCAGTTCTGTGAAGAATGAATACTCTGTTCAGTCATGCTCTCCAATTGATCCCAGAGTTCACTTTATCATAAAGTAGGTCACCACCCAGAGGAATGGCAGCAGCCAGTCTTATCAGCCCACCCATTACCATGCACATCTAGAAGTCCTTACATAGCACAATGCAAATTGCTTAGCCACTTTGCAGGAGACCAGGTCAATGCAGACAGTTTTCTTGTGTGGAAAGGTCTCTGTTGTGGGAAGTTCTCTGATGTGGGAAGGTCTCTGTTGTGGAAAGGTCTCTGTTGTGGGAAGTTCTCTGATGTGGAAAGTTCTCTGATGTGAACAGTTCTCTCAAACAGGAAGGCTTAAAAATGGAAACCCTGATAACAACTGAGGGTTGAAGAAGGAAATACAAGGTAACAACATAATATAACTGCAGCTCTGACAATGTAAACAGCAGACTGACGCAGTGGAGCTGATATCAAGACGTGCTAAATACAGACTGGATAAGGGGAACTCACAGGAGACCCCAGAAATAGTTCTTTTTACCAGAAATTCCTATTTTTTCAAATAAGAGTTGAAGCTTGACACAAACAAACTTTTTTCAAATAAGAGTTGAAGCTTGACACAAACAAACTGTTCTTCCCAACAGAAAAGCCCAATGAAAGGAATGAAAAAGACACGCACAAATACAACCAAACATTTCAACTAAAGTCTTCATCAATCGACTACTAAACAGTCCGTGTTGTATTTAGTACTCTACTGATGAAGAACTTTAGTCTAAACGTTCAGGTGTATTCACATATTTTCCCATTCTATCCGGTGAGCTTTCAAATCACATTTTATGTTGTATACAGCTCTTCTGAAATGTGAAAGTTGATCGGCTAGAACTGGACGTTCACTGACCTTATGATGTGATTTGATGTCCAGAACTAGAGGTGGGATCATGCTGACAGCTTCCTGCCGACTGATGGCACCCTGAAGACAAACATATTGATTAAATTACTTACTGTTGGGTCACAAACAGACCCATTAATTCACTTACTGTTGGTCACACAAAAAACAAATCCATTAATTTACTTACTATTGATCACAAACAAAACTATCAATTCATTTCCTGTTGGTTACAAACACATACATTAATTCACATACTGCTGGTCACAAACAAACACTTATTAATTCACTTACTGTTGATCACAAACAAACATACATGAATTCACTTACTGTTAATCACAAACAAACAGACAAACATCCATTAGTAGTCTAGTTTCTGTATCTACAAACCATACATTATACAAAGAGGGGTAACTCTCAGATCTAGTTTACACTCACACATTCAGTTTCTGCAACAAGAAAGTCATGTAGGCGGCTCAGATGTTCACTGCTTCTGACTATCTTGCGAGTCAGATCTAACTGCCATGCCAGGTTGTTGGGATACCTAAAAAACCACAAAATGAAACAGTCATCAACACATGCCCTTACAACATATGCGACAGTTAGCTCTGAAAACAGTCATCAACACATGTACTTACAACACATGCCACAGTTAGCTCTAAAACAGTCATCAACACACGCTACAGTTAGCTCTGAAAACTCATGCCCACACAAGTGTCAGAGTGACTTGAAGCCTGGCTCCATCAAATATCTCTCACAGCTTAGTGAATGTATTTCACAACCCTCAATATACCAGGTTTCAACTCCAATGCTGGCCAGTTTAAAAAATACCACTGGTGTGACTTTCAGGCTGACCATGGACCAGGTTAGAGCAGGGTTAATGTGTGACTTTCAGGCTGACCATGGACCAGGTTAGAGCAGGGTTAATGTGTGACTTTCAGGCTGACCATGGACCAGGTTAGAGCAGGGTTAATGTGTGACTTTCAGGCTGACCATGGACCAGGTTAGAGCAGGGTTAATGTGTGACTTTCAGGCTCACCATGGACCAGGTTAGAGCAGGGTTAATCAACTAGTGGCCCGTGGATCAGGTCCAGCCAGCAGACTTTGCCAGTTGTATTCCTAATCTTGCTCCACTGGGTCTCAAGCCTCTGGCAATCACCATATCCTACACTGTGGTCCCTGAGGAAACTTAGCTTAATTGGGGCTGACCATGTAATATTCCCAAAGGAGGCATATAACCACTGCAGTCAACCTCCATCATATAGCAGGTCCTTTGTTAAACATCACTCTCATCAGTCCGCTGAGGCAGTCATGTGACCAAAATACATTTCAGTTTCTGAGATAAGATGCTGCTGACCAGCCAATTTCCCTTGATGCTCAGATATTTTAGGATGTAAATTTTTCTCTTCTTCCTGGTCCATGGTATTCTGAAAATCGTTTCTATAGCATTTCAATTCAAAAGCCCATATTTTCTACCTTAATTACTGTGAGATAGTCCATGGCTTCCATCCACAAGTTGCAACAAGCTGCGAGACCTCCAGTATATAGACAATAAACACACAAGAACTCGCTCAAAATACAGCAACTCAGACATTCGAATGTGTCAAATAAACATGAAAAACTAACGTTATCCTCATCAAACATGCAAATAAGCTCTGGAAGAATGTAAGCTCTGGACACAGTAAGTTAGCTGTAGTTACAACTTCACAGTCACAGGTCATCCCCCAGAAGTGTGCTGGCAGTGCAGGGGAGTAAATAAAAACTGGCAGTGGATTACATTTTACTCAAAGAACGCCTTTTTCCCCCAAGACATGGTAGACATTTTAGCCTGGGTATACATAGGAGTCAAAAGATTTTTGTGTGTGGTAAAAACACAGCTTGATGCAGAACTGAACCTGAAACCTCCTGGCTTGAAGACAAGTGTCTAGCTGCAACACAACCTCACTTAGACTGTTTGTTATTCATTATACGGATGACTGGTTTGGTTTTTTTCCAGTTTGGATCATTTTAGTTTTGTGGCAATTCTTCTTCTGTTTATTAATAAGGATTGCGACTGAAATATGCACTTGTATCTTTATGGGTCTTTCCCTTTGCCGAGCCTACATTACAATGTGACCAATCACTCTTCTACACATGTATTGCCCTGAAAGCACCAAACTGTCTCCCGCTACCCACAACAATAACAAATGTCCATTACCAAGGTAACGATTTTGGAGGTGGAACCTCTTCTCCGTCTACTTTCACATCAAGAATGTTGCTGAAGAACTTTCCAGTGATGTTGTTGAGTAACTCCTCTGACTGGCTGAAGAGACAACAACAGGAAAAATTTTAAACACTGCTAAAGACTCCAGGTGTCAGATGCAATAATGGCAAATAAAAGATGTAACAAATTTACAACAAAGAACTGAAACACTAGTAAACTTAAAGCAATAATGACAAATAAAAGATGTAACAAATTTACAACAAAGAACTGAAACACTAGTAAACTTAACAGATAAAATACGGACAAGACAATCTTAATCAATAGAATGTATTCATGACCATATCTCCCCATGTGGGTTCTGTGGCCCACTGTGGGGGCGGGGGAAAACAAGAACAGATCCACTGCCCTCCCCACAACTAGATTGTAGTGTAAGTCGGCTAATTAGGGGTTTCCTTTGAAATTGGAGTTCATAATGCCTGAGCGGCAGGGAACCAGCAGTGTGCATACAAATAAGCCAGATATCTGTTAAACTGTTACGCACGCATCAACTCAAGTTCTAGAACAAGGCTAAAGTCTGGAGGTGGACAACCAAAACTTTCTGCTGCAGTTTACAGCCATGAAGGTGAAGACAAAAATTACCCAACAAAATATTTAGACCATTTTGTATAAACTTAACCAGTGAAACTGATTCAGAGGCATGTATTTGCCAACATTAAACACAATTAAATACATACATTCAGAGATGAATACTGACTTTAGTAAATACAAACTTGAACTGAAGCACTGACTTTAGTAAATACAAACATTACAAGTTAAATACACTCTCAATAGGTAAATATTGTAAACTAGTCTCATAACACCATACCTCTTATATCCAGTAATGCGGAAGGTCACTGGCAATGTCTTCTTCAAGGTTGAATAAAACTCATCCCATTCGCCCTCAGGAACAATACCCAATCCCTGCAAATGATCATGTCGTATCAAAGATGGATGGTATGTATAAGAAATGGACAGAATGTATAAGAAATGGACAGAATGTATAAGAAATGGACAGAATGTATAAGAAATGGACAAGATCTAAAACAAATAGCCATAGCAGTGTTATGACTAGTGCATTCACTTACCAGCCCAGTAAGCATTAGTTGAAACGACCAGCGTCAGAGTTGTTGTTTCAGTCAGAATTCACATTCTGCTGTAATTAATTGTGTATCTGTAAGTTTCCCTAATGTATTCTAGTGTTAGTTAGTCTTTCCTCTTGTGTCGAGTGCGGCACATAGGGCAGAGGTCATGACTCTCCATGCATGGCGGTTCGTTGCAATCTGTTGTAGGTCTTGGAAGTTTGAGTGGCCCATGAGCGAGCCTTCCCTGATGATAGTTCTACGTAGAGTTTCCCTTGGTCTTCCACGAGATCTTTTCCCCTTCTTCTTCTTCACTTCCTCTTTTACCGCTGTGAGTGTCGAGGGAGATATAAGGTTCTGTTTCTAGCTCTTCTGGCTGCCTCGACCATAGGCACATCGTGCTGTTGTAGAGTTTCTCTGATGTTATCCTTCTATCTTGTTCTTGGTCTACCCTGTGCTCTACGTCCTTCTTCTCTTCCCATGTATGCTTTGTATGGTATGGTGTCACAAGGCATTCTCTCTAAGTGGGCAAACCATTTCACTTGCTGTCTTTGTATGTAATCCAGAATTGGTTCTTTTCCCCTGTGGTGTCCAAATGAGGGCTTGGTAAGGAAGTCTTGATTTATCCATTCTAAGGGCGTGGCCGACATAGTTCCAGCGGCGTTTTCGTATAAAATTAGACACATACTCTTGCCTGGATTCTTGCCTTATTTGTGTATTGGTTTGGAAATCTGACCATTTGAAATTTAGTATTCTTCTAAGGCATTTATTTTCAAAATTGTCTAATTTTGTGTCTAGAGTTTTCGTTGATTTCCAGCTCTCGCATCCATAGGTTAGTACTGGAATCACACAAGAATTGAAGATCTTGAGTTTTGTGTGTTTGCTTAGTGTCTTTGATTTCCAGATGTACAGTTTATTGAAGGCACTAGATGCCAGTGCTATTCTAAATGGTATTTCTGGTGCGGTATCTCCTGTAGATGACATCTTGCTCCCTAGATAAGTGAAACTGTTGACTTTTTCAGGGCTGTTGTTGTTCAGCGTGATATCAACTGAACTGTTGGTTAGGTCTAGAATTTTTGTTTTTGCGGTGTTAATTTGGAGTCCAATTTGTTCTGAGAAATTCTGGAGTCGATTGATTTTTTCTTGGGCGTCTGCGTGTTCTGAACTCAGGAGTGCTATGTCGTCGGCGAAGTCTAGGTCTTCCAGAATTTTGTCAACCCATGTAATGCCTAAATTTGTGTTATTTATGCACTTGCGCATGACCCAGTCGATTGCTATACCAAAAAGCATCGGCGATAGGACACAGCCTTGCTTCACTCCTGTTTCCACCGGGAACCAGTCAGAATTGCCGGATTCAGTTCTTACACAGCATCGTGTTTCATTATAAAAAGATTTTATGATGTTGATATATTTGATGGGGAAACCATAGATGTTAAGCAATTTCCTGAGTGTTGGACGATGGATACTGTCAAAGGCTTTTTGGAAGTCGACAAAGTTGATCAATAATTTCGACTGGAATTCTGTAGAATCTTCAACAATTATTCTAAGAGTAAAGATGTGGTCTATGCATGACCGCTTGGATCTAAAACCGGCTTGTTCTTCCCTTAATCTTTCATCTATGGATTTTTTCAATCTTTCTAGTAGCATACTACAAAATAGTTTCCCTGGTATCGAAAGCAGGGTGATGCCTCTCCAGTTGTTACAATCGGATAAATCACCTTTTTTAGGTAATTTGAAGATTACACCATCTTTCCATTGTTGTGGTGGGTATTCGTTTTGCCAGACTATTCTAGTGTACGGACACCAAATAAAAATATTTAGAAAGAAATATTCTAAATCTACAAACAAAAATGATGATAACAACATGGTGATTCACACCCGACGTTCATAACCTAAATAAACGTAATCAAAATACCGCCACCAGTACAAAGATGACAAGACGTGTGAGAAGTCACAGCTTACCTTGTAGTATTTTACAAACAGTTCATTGTCTCTTGTCCCCAAGTCATAACCCTCTCCAACTTTACCACCTCCCCTGTTGAAATTCTGTTGAAAGAAATGAATAATTCACATAAGTCTCACAACACTAAGATCAAAATATATAAAACTTTGATATGACCAGTTTTATATGGCTCTGAAACTTGGAGCACAACTAAAAGAGATGAAGTCTTATTACAGGTTTTCGAAAACAGAGTCTTATGAGAAATCTATGGATCCATCAAAGAGGCAAACAGCAGTGAATGGAGAGTGAGAAGCAACAATGAAATTCATGATCTGTTTAAATCTTCACTGGCATCATGAGAGCTAATAGACTGAAATGGTTGGGACATACTCAAAGAGTGTCAGATGACAGAGAAGTAAAAACTATACACGAGGGAGATGAATGGTCATAGACCACGAGGCAGACTAAGAAGACGATGGAGATATAATATCCTATCAGACCTGCAAACACTTGGTGTCATTAAAAGAGAAGGCCAACCAGAGAGATGAATGGAGGCAGTTGATATATACAGCAATTATCCTCAATGGCTCGGAATGCTGAAGAAGAATAAGTTACAAAGAGATTGTGTGAGACTGCGTCACCTCCATTAGTTTAATGATTACTATATAGCTGTCGATGATTGCTCTATATGGCCATTAATGTGTGGTCAATGTGCGGTCTATGGTTGCTCAATGTGTGGTCAATGGTTGCTCAATGTGTGGTCAATGGTTGCTCAATGTGTGGTCAATGGTTGCTCAATGTGTGGTCAATGGTTGCTCAATGTGTGGTCAATGGTTGCTCAATGTGTGGTTAATGACAGCTCTATGTGTGGTTAATGACAGCTCTATGTGTGGTTAATGACAGCTCTATGTGTGGTTAATGACAGCTCTATGTGTGGTTAATGACAGCTCTATGTGTGGTTAATGGCAGCTCTATGTGTGGTTAATGACAGCTCTATGTGTGGTTAATGACAGCTCTATGTTTGGTTAATGACAGCTCTATGTGTGGTTAATGACAGCTCTATGTGTGGTTAATGACAGCTCTATGTGTGGTTAATGACAGCTCTATGTGTGGTTAATGGCAGCTCTATGTGTGGTTAATGGCAGCTCTATGTGTGGTTAATGACAGCTCTATGTGTGGTTAATGACAGCTCTATGTGTGGTTAATGACAGCTCTATGTGTGGTTAATGACAGCTCTATGTGTGGTTAATGACAGCTCTATGTGTGGTTAATGACAGCTCTATGTGTGGTTAATGACAGCTCTATGTGTGGTTAATGACAGCTCTATGTGTGGTTAATGACAGCTCTATGTGTGGTTAATGACAGCTCTATGTGTGGTTAATGACAGCTCTATGTGTGGTTAATGGCAGCTCTATGTGTGGTTAATGATTTTCCAGGATGCAGACCTGTCTTCTGTGTGAGCCATTTATGACTTCCCTCTTATCAGCCGCTGACCTTGACTGCACCCAGAGCTTCGTGCAAAGGGTGGTCTGTGTCTGCAGATACCAACCCTGAGATATGACTTGGCTTGAAGCACCTTGTGCCTACCTGCAACAGTCGGCAAACCAAGGAGTGTCTCTGGTGCAACCTAGAATGACCCGCATAGCTGCGTTCGGTATGTGATATGTGCTCTAGTTTGTCCATCTGACTCTCTGAGACAACGGTAGGCAGTCCCAGGCCATAATCAACCACTGACAGAAGCGAAGCAGGTACTGAATTAACTTCTCATTTGAACAATTATTAGAAGTACCTTGAAAGGCTGCTGCATCAGAATGAATGATCAGAGAGAGGACTGAGCACGCATGGGAATGCCTAAACTAATGTGCAGTGACGTCGATTTTGAAACATAACATAATCAGACAGCGTCGAGGTCTCAGAACGTTTAAGTTATTAAGTAAGGCCAACGCCGTCTCTAATAGAGAAGGCCGTGGTAAGGCATACAATACATATAACATAACTACTACAACTACACTAGTACAACAACACTATCAACTTTGGTCTACACATGCATTCATTCAACAAATGATCATGCTCATATGTGATATTGAATTCTCAACTAAACATGTAAATGTATATTTACCTTTCTATTTCCAGACCTCTGCGATGAACCCTTCTTTCTTCTACCCATGATATCCTTAAATATTGACGAAAGCAAACTGTTTAGAACGAGTGTCTTCTGAAACAGTCTATTTGTTAGCACGTCTCGGCACAAGGCTGTACACATGAGAGTAATGAGACTGTTGACATCGATTACTTTTTGCTGCTGAATATTACAAATTTAGTTTACCGACTTTTTTGTGTGGTTTAAAAAAAAAAGAAACTAAACTTTTTTATGAAAAATAAAAAAATAATAATGGTTTTAGGAAAAATTATTAAGTTAGAATATAATATATTTAAAGAATCATTCACAGACTATATAAAAATGCAATTGAATTCGTTTATTTTCTCAATTGTTCCTTGGCTCATAAATATATTTCGTTTTAAAATTAAAAATGTAAAAACAAGAGCGGCTTGCAGACTCTACCAATCACAGAGCTTGTAACAGTGTGAGTCTTCATCAATAGTTACCATGGTAACACAGCGACGCCAACAAGGGACGTTGGCGATGTACCACATACAATTTGTGACTGTATGATGTATTTATCACAGACTAATTTATGTTTCGAGAGGTCTATAGGGAAAACTAGATCTCGGAAACTTGTTATCTAGTGAAAGATACATAACAACGGGACACCACAGTTGACTATCGCCAGGTTTGTTGTAAACTGTGGTCGCATTGAGCAATTCTCTGTGACACTCTGTCTCATTCTAACTGAAAAAAAAAAAAAAAAAAAAGTATAACTGAGTAGTATTCAGAATGCTGACTTACGAGTAAATACTACAATTATAACTGCGTATTTCTGCATGTGTATTTTCACATTATGTCTTCATGTAGGATAGTTAGCAAAAACTTCTCTAACGCGATAAAAAAAAATCATCCCACTGTCACGACTAAGGATGGGGGAAAGACCCCCACATTGATAGAAGTAGCGATGTTCACGCATTCATTAATTATTCTGTTGTGCCATTACATTATATATATATATATATATATATATATATATATATATATTATATATATATATATATATATATATATATATATATATATATATATATATATATATATATAGGCTCTCCTTGCAATAACGGTCGCTAGACGGCAACGGCCGGCCGCTTCGTCGGAATTCAGTCCCCTGGCCTCAGTGCAATTATGGAGTGGAACAGAGGGAACGAAACAAATGACATAATTTTGGGTAGGGTTTGGGTTAGGTTAACACATGTAACGTTAAGTCTTGCGTCGCAAGAACGCGGTCGCTAATGTGAGTCGCAGCGCGTGGTCTAGAAGCCACGTTGAACTCACTTTGTTTTGTGATTCGTGCCTTGTCCACTCCGTAATTGCACTGCAGCCAGGGGACTGAACTCCGACTAAGCGGCCGTCACCATCCAAGTAGCGACCGTTATTGCAAGGAAAGCCTATATATATATTTATATATATCGCTCGTTTATGAAAGTATATTCATCCATTCCGTTATAGTATATAACTTATACCCTGTGCAGTTACTATTTAATATGATCATTAATGGAATCCAGCCCAGTACCTCTGGCCGCTCTCTTCAATGTTCTTGCTGTTTCCTATTTCTTTGCCTGTCTAGTGATTCTCTGCTGGTTTCTTCTCAAAAGTCTAGTGATAGAAAATAGACAATTAACCAAAAAAAATTTAAAAAGTTCATTTAAAAAAAAAGTTTTCCTGTATGTGCCCAGCACATTGAAAACAAGAACCAGAAAAAGCAGCATAGATAAGTAGCAAACAGAAAAATGCGGCAATGCAATATTGTGTCAGATAAGAAACATTGTCTTAAACAGGTTACTTTCCATGGCAGTCATGAAACTAGGCTGTTACATATTGCCCATATGAGTATATTCATGTGAGTTATCCAGCTTAAAAACATGATAGTCCGTTATCAATGAGATGAGGGAAAAAAAAGAAGAAAGAATCAAATGATTTCAAAGAAACTAGTGGCCACAAAAATGTGGGATCTATGTAGAATGTTAAATATTTCAGAGGCAAGAATTCTGGGTAACGAGAAGCAAAATCACAAAAACAGATGATGACACATACTCAGACATGATAGTCATTCAAAATATCATTATCAGCGCATGAGTGCTTTGCGGACTAACATTGATAACCATGCATATCCATATCTTGTGACTTCCAGCTAGGCTTGGCAGTGTACCACAGAAGATAATTAGTGGTTGAAACATTTGTTGCTTTACAATATTAATCTTGTGATTAACTGTTTAATCTGTTATTCTAGATCACAAGAGTTTTCTAACTTAAACATGTTTTACCTCAAAATGATTTTTGATTGCAAAATATATTACTTAAATACTGACATTGATTGTGTGCATTTTGCTTAACCATGCAGCACAATGCCATTAGGACCTTTTGGCGAAATTATGGGGACAACAGGAACCCTTGCAAGTCTTCCTCTTGATGTTCAGAAATACAGATCCCATGTGGTGGCTCCGCGCAATCCTAAACTTGTCAGGCACAACGAACTGGACACAGTCAAGGTTGTTCACATTCTACTGTTTCTGTGTGTAGCTCAGTTATTTGTGTACAGATAAATAAATTCTAAATCACAATATTATTCTTTTTTTGATTCATAACTTATAGAAAGGATCACTTTAACACAAGCGTTTTTTTTCTAGGGTATATGCCAACACAAAGACTACACAGGATATACAAAAATTCCATGGATAGGAAAGTGCACAAGGTAGGAAAGCTGGCAAGAGATGAGTTTCTTTCAGGCAGACCAAGAAGAGAGTGATGTCATACAAAAGACCTGCTACATGATAATAATGATACTCCTTATCCTTTTCGAAAACTTTATTTCAATTTTATTATTATATACAAATTGACTTTAATAACATTAATCTGTTTTGCACGAATAAATGATTCATGGCAATTTCCGCCTAGGTGATGTGATTGTATATTCAGATGGCTCTGTGAGGAGGGGCAGACGAAGTGTATGGAGGGTTCATAACACAGGTGAATGGATATCGTTTGGTGCAACAAAGCCTGACATATGATATCACAACGTCTAGTTTGAGAATGGAGGTTAAGGCAGTCACTGCTGCCTTACGCTGTTTTGAGAACCAGCTGTACACAAGTGCCAACATTGTAACTGACTCACAGAGCATGTTGAGAAAGGTGGAGACAGGCATGCTCCATGCAGAGTGGCAAGCATCATTTCAAAGGTCCCAGTTAGTTAGCATCGTTTGGATATTTTCTCCAGGTCACGCCGGTGTGTTGGGAAATGAGCAGGCAGATAGACTGGCTGGTTCGGCACCACTTGGTGGTGAACTGATGTATGACAAGCTGGATGTTGTGAGGGCCCTTTGGGAGCGAGTGAACAGTGCAGAGGAACAGATAGATCATTACTGTCTGAGGAGAATGGCACTGGGAGGAGTTACAAGGGGATCTGACCGACACTTGACACTCAGGGGAAAGGCGAGACTGTTATCCAATCAGACAGTTACTGGTACCATCAGAATTTTAACTCTTCACTTGCTGCTGAAGATGGGGACAGAGCACTTATGGGGGTGTCTTGAGTGCTGTGATTTCGATTCCTAATTCAAAATTCAACATATGAACAAATGAAAAATATTTTCCACATAAAGCAAAAAAAGTTTAATAATTGTGTTTAAAGATGAAAATAACTTTATAACATACATAATTTTTAAAAATGATACACCCCACCTAATTTTCTAGAAAAAAGTCAAGTTGGAACAATGATTCTGTTTGATCCTGTTACTGATGTGAAAGAATGACAGTAATTTGAAAAAAAAATTTGCAGATGACACCGAGCAGGTTTATGTTTGAGATGTCACTGAGCACAGAACAGAAACTTGCCAACACGCATGTCATGAAAGTTCCTAGAAAAATTGAACTGCTGGATATGGGAGACACGTCGCTGCAGAAGGTACTGTAATGTAGTAAATGTGCTGCATGCAGAAACTGATAATTGTTTTAATTATCCACATTTAAAAAAAACCTTTTTTTAATACAAAAGAAATATGGAGAACAAATCAACTTCAGCCAGCTAAAAAAAAATGCTGTCTCCATTAGATGTTTCATTAGCTTATCATTCTGATTGTCATATGTTTGAATTCTCTTTGAGGTGGTTTTTAAAATTTATGAGGGCTCTCAGGTCAGTTTAGCGTGAATCAGGTACCTGAAAGTGTCATGGGAAGTAAAAGCTGGCATAATATGACTACATCACCCTTCAAGTGCTGGTTGATTGGTCTATACAAGTTTGGGCTTAGCATCTTTTGATAAAATGCTTAAAGACATGGGAATTGAACTATTAATTTTCACCTGCTAACTTGTGCCAGCTGTGTCTGACTCAGTCATGAACAGTTTGTTACAGAAGTCGCGTCGTTTCGAAACCTCCTACTCTATTCAGAAACTTGTGGGATTGACAGACATGCATAACAAAATTGATCTTTATTTGCTGATAAATTTATACCTTTTGACCCCTTTACTAATTCAAAACAAAAATGAATAACAGAATGCTGCTCATCTTTGGTGCATGTCAAAAATGGTGTGGCCATTTTTAAGCTGTCATTATGACATCAGTTTGTACATCTGTACTGATGTCATGTCCTAACACTCTTGGCATCATTAAAAACATTACTGAAAGGTTACAAGACAGTGGCATAATACTGAAATTTCTGTCATATTTTTTAAGTTTTTATTTCGGTTAGAATTGAATTGTTTTGTCCCTTGGGTAAGGGCACAACAAATCAGAATGACTTATGTGTATTTTTGTATGTTATCTTTTACTCCCCCTCCCCCCACTTCCCAGTATAACATGACCCTTCATATAATGTGCATTTTGCATTTGTTAAAAGCCTGTCTAGAGTTAGACACTGAAAAGAGTGGGTCAAAGCCATTGCCCAGGCACAATTTTAAAACTTTAAAAAAACATTCCCATGAAAGATAATATTGACAAGATACCTTGTTCTGGTGGTTTCATACAGCTGGAACCTTGCCAGTGCTGCCTAGTTCATGCACCTACTGTTCTCAGTTTCTCGGTGTGTCATTTAAAGAAAAAACATTGAGAAGATGGCAGTATCTGCATGCAGTGAAAGTAGTTTTTTTTTTTTTGTTTGGATAGGTTTTTATTTTTTAAACGAAACCAGCCTCAAATAAAATAAAAAAATTTAAAGTACTTTTGCTTGAAATTTACTGAATAGTTCATTCTGTGCTGTTATTAATTTAACCAGAAGATGTCTCTAATGCTCATTGACATTTCTGAACTAGTGTGTCCAATAAGTGGTTATTACTTACCCTGTTGGTACCAAGGGACACATCATGCATTGATTGATTTCTAATTTAAATACCCTTTAGTGCTGAAAGAATTAACTCCCCAGGCTCAAATTATGACAGTGATTGACAGATTTTTTTATTTAATTTGATTCAAGAACCGACATAACAGCACTCGGGGCATTTCCATAAGCACTCCATCCCCATCTTCAGCAGCCAGCGAAGAGTTCCGATACTTATGGTGCCAGTAGCATTCTGATTAAACGTCCATTTTGCCTTTCCTCCGAGCCTCGAGCATCTGCCAGAACCTCTCGTCACCCCCAACTGCATCAATCTCACCACACTGGGGTGATCCATCTGTTCCTTCAAACTGTACAAGCTCTCCCACAAGGCACTAACCACGTCTGCCTTTTAATGCATCAGTATTCCACCAAGCTGTGCAGAGCCAGCCAGTCTGTCCGCCTGTTCATTTCCCAACACACCAGCATGCCCTGGTGAAAAAATCCAGACAATACTCCTCACCCGTGTCTTCCGCTCTCTGCATTCCCAACTCAGTGTGATTATGACCCTACACAAGTCTGACTGTTCAGGGGGCACTTTGACCCACTCCTCTCCTTGCCTAATGTTCTCAAGGATGCAAACCTGTCTGATTGTGTCCTCTGCCTGAGCCATCCATGACTTCTCTCTTATCAGCAGCTGACACTTAACTGCAGAGCTTCGTGCAAAGGGTGGTCTGTGTCTGATTGACGGATGTGACTATTAAAGCTAAGGAACAGCTTACCTGTGTCAAATATTCAGTGTCAAATACAGATCATTCATGCATGTACTGTTCTCAGTTTCTCATTGTATCATCTAAAGAAGAAAAAAATTGAGAAGATGGCAGTATCTGCATGCAGTGAAAGTAGGTTTTTTTTAAATAGTTTGTTTAAAGTTTTTTTTTTAAATTTAAATCAAAACAGCCTCAAATTAATTAACAAATTTAAAGTCTGTTTGCTTGAAATTTACTGAATAGTTCATTCTATGTTGTTATCGATTTAATCTTTATTGCTCGTTTACATTCCTGGCCAGTACAATATCTGGCACACGTATGGCCACCAGAAATAAATATTGGCTCGAAAAGTCAGCTAGCCACAAAAGTTGTAACTAAAAGATTAAAAAAAAAAAAAAAAAAAACAAGTGTATGATGTAAAGTCCCTTGGTGATTAGAAGCCCATGAGATAGATATAGCAGTTCTTAGAGTCTACATTATGTAGCACAGACTATATTATCCAGTACAGGCTATATTGAATAGGACAGTCTATATTACAGCCAAAAATATTAATGAGATAACCTTTTTGCTGTTTCTTTTCAGTTCTCAAAAGTCCACATTGATGAACCCATGTTCCAGCCATTCCCATCAGAGATTTATTTTCAAAACTTCCAGCCATTTGAAGTCTATGAAGTTCCACTGACTCTAAGGAACAATGACAAGGTGACAATTGAATCAATGATCTTTTCATGAGGCAGCATCCATGATCACATCAGTTCCAGCTGTGGGCGGTTGGGCAGCATTTCATTTTATATTGATTTTAACAATGCTATCGAAAGCCTATCATGTAGAAAGCAATGGCAAACTACTGAATGTGAAATAACCTAACCAACTATTCAAAAAAGGTTGGGGTCACTTCTGCACTGTCCTATAAGGGATGTACAAAAAACATTTTATTAAACAAATCTTGTAATTAAAATGGAGTCTTGGGGTCTATAATTTTCTCATAATAATGAAGTCATCCCCCCCCCCCCCCCCCCCCAAAAAAAATACTTCACCTAGTTTTTCATTTGCTGTGTGCATTAATGATTTTTTTTTTTTTTTTTTCAAATGTGGTAATTTGTGGATTGCATTTTACTGCTGTTAACTTTTTGAGTCCCAAGGAACACATCATATGTTCATAGGTTCCTACCAAGAAGTGCAATGAACTCAAGGTGGTCTCTCTTGACCACCCCTTGGGCCTGTGATGCTAAACCATCTGGAACTCAAAGAGTTAATCAAGTTAACAATAAGGGATCAAACATGTTGCACTCTCTAAATTTACAATTAAAACTGCCATTTTTTTTCACTGTTTATTTGATCAGGTCCCACGTTTGATCAAGATCACACAGGAAAAGTCTCCCTACTTCAACATCATCAGTCCTAGTGATGTTGGCCATAAAGTGGGACCCGGCCTACCAACGACTTTTAGAGTTCAATTTACCCCAGATGAGAATAAGGTATAGAAGCAGTGTGAATATTAATTATCACTTCATAAGTTTCTGTGAATTACGAGTTTAGGTCAGATGGCACCTCTTTTGAAATGCAAGCATGTGAATCTGAACACTAAAAGAACACTGTTCAGCCCAATATTCTTATCAAGAAAAAAATAGTCACGACAGAAATGAAATGTTTTCATACTATGCTAGGTGAATCAAGGAAAGATCGACTTAGGAACAATGAAATCAGGAGGAGAGTCAGCACAGAACCAATACTGAACTTAATAGGTAGACAACAAATCAAACAGTATGGCCATGCAACAGGATTGGCATCCGACAGGGCACACTGAAAAGTACTATATACAAAGCATACAGGAGGGCCCTTTCCAGAGATCTCTTCCTGTCCTGATGCCACAAGGCCTTCCAAGAGTAGAGAACAGAAGACGAAAAGTGTGGTAATAGCACAAACTATGTTGTATAGAATGATATATATTAATATGTACGACAGTTTATATTATGCATGATTAGTTGAAACAATTATGAGGGCTGATCAGTTGACAGGAAGGTGGTGCGCAAAGAAGTGCCAGCTGTGGGAGAGGCCAGCTGTGGGACTCTAGAGGCCAGCTGTGGGACTCTAGAGGCCAGCTGTGGGAGAGGCCAGCTGTGGGACTCTAGAGGCCAGCTGTGGGACTCTAGAGGCCAGCTGTGGGACTCTAGAGGCCAGTTTTGGGACTATAGAGGCCAGCTGTGGGACTCTAGAGGCCAGCTGTGGGACTCTAGAGGCCAGCTGTGGGACTCTAGAGGCCAGCTGTGGGACTCTAGAGGCCAGCTGTGGTACTAGAGGCCAGCTGTGGGACTAGAGGCCAGCTGTGGGACTCTCGAGGCCAGCTGTGGGACTCTAGAGGCCAATTGTGGGACTCTAGAGGCCAGCTGTAGGACTCTAAAGGCCAGTTGTGGGACTCTAGAGGCCAGCTGTGGGACTCTAGAGGCCAGTTGCGGGACTCTAGAGGCCAGCTGTGGGACTCTAGAGGCCAGCTGTGGGACTCTAGAGGCCAGCTGTGGGACTCTAGAGGCCAGCTGTGGGACTCTAGAGGCCAGCTGTGGGACTCTAGAGGCCAGTTGTGGGATTCTAGAGGCCAGTTTTTGGACTAGAGGCCAGCTTTGGGACTTTAGAGGCCAGCTGTGGGACTCTAAGAGGCCAGCTGTGGGACTCTGTAGGCCAGCTGTGGGACTCTAGAGGCCAGCTGTGGGACTCTAGAGGCCAGCTGTGGGACTATAGAGGCCAGTTTTGGGACTCTAGAGGCCAGCTGTGGGACTAGAGGCCAGTTTTGGGACTCTAGAGACCAGCTGTGGGACTCTAGAGGCCAGCTGTGGGACTAGAGGCCAGCTGTGGGACTAGAGGCCAGCTGTGGGACTTTAGAGGCCAGCTGTGGAACTCTAGAGGCCAGCTGTGGGACTCTGGAGGCCAGCTGTGGGACTCTAGAGGCCAGCTGTGGGACTCTGGAGGCCAGCTGTGGGACTCTAGAGGCCAGTTGCGGGACTCTAGAGGCCAGCTGTGGGGCTCTAGAGGCCAGCTGTGGGGCTCTAGAGGCCAGCTGTGGGACTCTAGAGGCCAGTTTTGGGACTCTAGAGGCCAGCTGTGGGACTCTAAAGGCCAGCTGTGGGACTCTAGAGGCCAGTTTTGGGACTCTAGAGGCTGTTTTGGGACTCTAGAGGCCAGTTTTGGGACTCTAGAGGCCAGCTGTGGGACTCTAGAGGCCAGCTGTGGGACTCTAGAGGCCAGTTGTGGGACTAGAGGCCAGCTGTGGGACTCTAGAGGCCAGCTGTGGGACTCTAGAGGCCAGTTTTGGGACTCTAGAGGCCAGTTTTGGGACTCTAGAGGCCAGCTGTGGGACTCTAGAGGCCAGTTTTCTGACTCTAGAGGCCAGCTGTGGGACTCTAGAGGCCAGCTGTGGGACTCTAGAGGCCAGCTGTGGGACTCTAGAGGCCAGTTGTGGGACTTAGAGGCCAGTTGTGGGACTCTAGAGGCCAGTTAGTTAGCCCATATTTACAGTATTATGAAAAAGTATCAATCCAGACAAGCAGTAGGACAAGCCAGCTTCACAAAAACCCAGTGACGAATGACGAAATGAACACTGGGGCTAGAAAGCATTCATCAGCTTATAACACAAATGGACAATGTTACAGTTTCAAACAAAAACATATAAGGTGTAAACAAAGCAATATTTGAAACAATAATACAAATTCCATATTGTCCTAAATAAGTAATTACACAATGTATAGATAACAGATAAATACTCTTTACATACCAGTTATAACCTTAAGTGCTGAAGAGGATATTGTTGTGAAAATGACGACTAAGAAAACATAAAATCACTTAATCTTTAGAGTATAAAGCAGTGTTCTTCAACCAGTGAGCCACGGCCCAATGGTGGGCCACAGAAACGTCCATGTGGACCACCAGAATTTTTAATATAATCTGTAACAGGCAGGTTAGTTTTTCTCTTCCAGGATTGCAGTCTGTAGGATGAGTAAGTACATCAAGGGTGATAATAAAACAGGTACAAATCCAGGAAACCCTGTTCAACTACATAGATACAGTAGAGTCTGGACTTGAGAGAATAAAGTTACAAAAAACAGTAAAGAGCCCACTTTCAAGCCTTGAGACATTTTAGGCATATGGTGCTAACTTGCCATTTATTCGACTAAAGGACATTTGATGGGGATGTAGTAATTGTCATGCCGGCTGCCTTGACTTGCAAGATCATGTCCGGATACCCATCTTTGGGCTAGGTTTTAAAAATCTAAGACCCAGATTTGAATTCTTGATAAAGTTATTGATTTCTTTCCTGTTGGGGGCAGAAATTAAATCTAATCTACACACTGTGTGGCGATTACACTGGCCATCGGGCCCTAAGTCGTCATGCTCAAAGATCACCACACAAGTGATTGTGATGTGGCATTTCATTGGTTAAAGATTGTGATATGGCATTTCATTGCTCGATGATCGTAATGTGGCATTTCATTGGTTGATGATTATGATATGGAATTTCTCGTTGATGATTGGGATGCAGTGCATTACCTGTTGCTCTTCTACAGGACTATGAACATGAACTTATCTGCGTCTCTGAGAGAGAAAAGTTTACTGTTCCTATCAAAGCAATTGGAGCACGGGGTATTTTAGACTTTCCAGACACCATACATTTCCCATCATGCTTGGTTAAATATCCAAACACAAAAACACTTCTCGTTCGGAACATTGGGAGCAAAGAAGCGATATTCAGCCTTAAAGTCAAGCCGTAAGTAATTAATATTTATGTTTGTACATCCATTTTAGATAATGGTCAGTTGGACGTTTTTGTCTTTGCGGATGTTGATATTAGATATTCTGGGCAGCTGTGACATTGGGGTTGTGAACGTAGCTTGTAATTCCAAGAGACCTGGTTCAATTCCAGCTGTGGTTGATTTGGCACTAGACTGCTTTGTGCTTTTTTAAACAATGGTATCAAGATGTGACCATCGGGAAAGCAAGGGCAAACTACTGATCATCAAAACTGTCTAGTTAAAAACAGACATAAACAGCCAATAAATGCAGGGTTGATTTGCAGTGTCCTAAAAAGGATACACAACTAAATCGGAGGTTGGGGGAGGGGGGGACAGAGGGGGGGTGGGGGTTTGACTTTGAAAGGACAAGGAAAGCTTATGATGATGATGATGATGATAGAGATGATGATGATGATGATGATGATGATGATGATGATGATGATGATGATGATGATGATGATGATGATAATGATGAATGATGATGATGATGATAATGATGATGATGATGATGATGATGATGATGCTGGGAATGATGATGATGATGATGATGATGATGCTAATGATGATGATGCTAATGATGATGATGATGATGATGATGATGATGATGATGATGATGATGATGATGATGATGATGATGATGATAATGATGAAGATGATGATGCTAATGATGATGATGATGATGATGATGATGATGATGATGCTAATGATGATGATGCTAATGATGATGATGATGATGATGATGATTAGAAATACCAACTCATGATGAGGAAACATTAAACTATTACAGAAATTAGTCAATGCATAGGTTTTTGTTGTTGCTGATGTTATTGTTGTTGTTGTTGTTGTGTGTGTGTGTAAGTGCACGCGCTTTAGGTTGTCATCTCCTGTCTTGTTTCTCCATTGCTGGGCCTAAATAAACCTGTAAACCATCCATAATCGTCCTCTCTTTCCGTTAGCTTTTTCACTCCCAGCCACTCACCTAAAATGCCAAATAGGGGAAAAAACAGTAACAGCAAAAACTCACTTTTTTTTAAATGTTAGGAAATCTGAGAAATAAAATAAATCCTTAGAATATTTAACGTTAATGTTAAATTAGTTATTGCTGTGAGGAATAAAATAAAGCCTTAGAATATTTAACGTTAATGTCAAATGAGTCATTGTTGTGAGGAATAAAATAAAGCCTTAGAATATTTAACGTTAATGTCAAATGAGTCATTGCTGTGAGGAATAAAATAAAGCCTTAGAATATTTAACGTTAATGTCAAATTAGTTATTGCTGTGAGGAATACAATAAATCCTTAGAATATTTAACGTTAATGTCAAATTAGTTATTGCTGTGAGGAATAAAATAAAGCCTTAGAATATTTAACGTTAATGTCAAATTAGTTATTGCTGTGAGGAATAAAATAAATCCTTAGAATATTTAACGTTAATGTCAAATTAGTTATTGCTGTGAGGAATAAAATAAATCCTTAGAATATTTAACGTTAATGTCAAATTAGTTATTGCTGTGAGGAGTAAAATAAATCCTTAGAATATTCAAAGTTAATGTCAAATTAGTTATTGCTGTGAGGAATAAAATAAATCCTTAGAATATTTAACGTTAATGTCAAATTAGTTATTGCTGTATGCAGCAGAAGTAGGAAGAAGGACTGAAATAATTGACAATACATGACAGACTTCATTGACCGGTGCCTGTGATAGTTTTTATCTTCACATGTATGTTGCTGAATCCTTACTACATTTATAAATACAGTAAAAAGAACAGATAAGGCTACTAACAAGGCAACAGAGACAATAAATGATGCAATATTACTTCTGTGTTTTATTGCCTAAAATAAAAATATTTTCAAGTTTGTAATTGTTGTCCATTTTTATGTATGCAGGCCCTTTTCTGTGAACCCTGACATTGGAGCCCTTGGAGTCAACGAGAGTATGCAAGTGACAGTAGAGTTCAAGCCCCTGACTGTTGGCGACCACAAGGAGTCGATGCGTCTGAAATATGACACAGGTGGGTCAGATATCAGGAGGGGCACATTGGGAGCATCATTATTTAACCAGCCTAGTGAAGATTGTGGTTTCCATTTCATTTTACTTTTTCTATTGCTGCTTGTTTGCCCTCCATTAGCCTAGGCTCTCTGCCAGCTCACGTTAAGATGCACTATCTTGAGCCAATGCCCGCAAGGTGACCTTGTGTCTTCCAGTCCTCTGTGTGTTTTTTATCAGTGATTCCAATTCTCCCCATGTGTGTTTCGGGACCGGCGGGCAATAGACCCACTGACTCTCTAACAAATTTATCATAAAAGGCAACTACCCCATGTGGGTTTCGGGGCCCTATTGTAGGAAAAACAAGAATAGACCCACTGCCTACCCAAAAGCATGTCGTAAGAGTCTATTAATTGGGAGCTTCCTTCGAAGTCGGAGTGCATCTGCCTTAGAGGCAAGGAACCAGCAGTCTGCATACAAATGAGTCAGATCTGTAAAACGGATGCACAAGCAACACTCATGTTCTGTAACAGGACTGCCATCCAGAAGTGGAAGAACAACCAGAACTTTCCACTAGAGATTGCAGCTAGTGAATGCGAAGAAGAAGAAGATAAAAGGCAACTAAGGGATTTTGCCTCTGAAGAAAAGCACATCTGCCTAAACAGCAAGGAACAAAGGGCAGCACAGAAGTAAGACACATCTGCCTAAACAGCAAGGAACAAAGGGCAGCACAGAAGTAAGACAGATCTGCCTAAACAGCAAGGAACAAAGGGCAGCACAGAAGTAAGACAGATCTGCCTAAACAGCAAGGAACGCAAGGAACAAAGGGCAAACAGCAAGGAACAAAGGGCAAGAAGTAAGACACATCTGCCTAAACAGCAAGGAAGCACAGAAGTAAGACACATCTGCCTAAACAGCAAGGAACAAAGGACAGCACAGAAGTAAGACAGATCTGCCTAAACAGCAAGGAACAAAGGGCAGCACAGAAGTAAGACACATCTGCCTAAACAGCAAGGAACAAAGGGCAGCACAGAAGTAAGACACATCTGCCTAAACAGCAAGGAACAAGAGCCAGCACAGAAGTAAGACAGATCTGCCTAAACAGCAAGGAACAAAGGGCAGCACAGAAGTAAGACAGATCTGCCTAAACAGCAAGGAACATCTGCACTAAACAGCCTAAACAGCAAGGAACAAAGGGCAGCACAGAAGTAAGACACATCTGCCTAAACAGCAAGGAACAAAGGGCAGCACAGAAGTAAGACACATCTGCCTAAACAGCAAGGAACAAAGGGCAGCACAGAAGTAAGACAGATCTGAAAACTGGATGTGCATGCAAGTTTCAAGTTCCGAAGCTAGACTGAAGTCCCGTATGGACAAACGATCAGAACCAGATTTTCTTCTTTGTATGTATTTAGGTCTTGCTGTATTTCTTTAGCTATAGGGTTTTAAGTGCAAGGACATTGTTCAATAACTTGAGTGTTGCGTGCACATCCGTTTCACATTTTTGGCTTATTTGAATGCAGACTTTTGGCTCTTTGAAGGATGCCCTCTGTTTTTTACTTATGTTTTCTACCATTTTTTTTGTTTGTTAAGGGGAGGAGATTTTTATTGGTCTCTACGGAGCTGCACATGAAGCAAACATTCGCTTGGACAAAAACTCCATTCGTATTGAGAACACTTACATCTCCATGGCCAGCCAGCGCACTGTTGTCATCATGAACCACAGTGACATCATCGCCCATTTTAGGTGGTCCAAATTTGCCACTCAGGATGATGAAGATCAGCGGAGATTATTGTGAGTAATTTGAAAAGATTGATTACAGTGTCAAGTTAACAAAATAATAATTCTTGAGCATTGACATGCACAACATATATAAGCAGATGCATAAACTTTTAAGTATTGAATGAATGTGCCTTCTCTTTCTCCTGTGACCTCATTGAAGTGTGTGTGTGTGTGAGTGCGTGCAGGAACTTGCATGCGTGTGTGTGTGTGTGTGTGTGTGGGGGGGGGGGTTGGAGAAATACAGTCGATAGTTAATTTACATTACCTCCGCAGACCGATGTGCTAGTCCTGACCTATGGGTTTGTATCATAGGCAATGACAGCAGCTCACAGAAGCCAGCTTCAGGCCTCAGGAATGAAGTTACTCAGACAGGTAGTCCCGGTGGCAAGAAGTGACAAAGTTCGCAGGCAGACAGTATGTCATCATCTTGAAACCCTGGCCTTACAAACAAACTCAAGTTGATCAGTTACAGCTAAGATGGTTTGGACATGCATGCAGAAAAGGAGAGAATCAGCCCCCATAGCATTCTTGAGAGCTCAAAAACCCAGACTACTAGGGTGACCCAGGGGTTGATGGGAAGACAATATCCACCAGTCCCCGACTGATAGACGACTCAAATGGAACAAAACCATAAAGAAAACTTTCTGATGATTTCTTTGGCGACCTTTACCCCAGGATAGAAGAGGGTTGACTGAGTCAAGAAATTTGGTAGACTGAATGGTTTATTTAAAAAGGCAGAACATATAGTAAAGTAAAGTATAGTATAGCATTACTAAACACAACACAAAATAGTATAATATAGCATTAATAAACATAGCACAAAATAGTATAGTATAGCATTACTAAACACAGCCTAAAATAGTATAGTTTAGCATTACTAAACACTGCCCAAAATAGTATAGTATAGCATTACTAAACACAGCCCTAAATAGTATAGTTTAGCATTACTAAACACAGCACAAAATAGTATAGTATAACATTACTAAACACCACACAAAATAGTATAGTATAGCATTACTGAACAGCATAAAATAGTATAGTATAGCATAACAAAACACAGACAAAACAGTATAGTATAGCATTATTAAACACAGCATAAAATAGTATAGTGTAACATTGCTAAACACAGCAAAAAATAGTATAGTTTAGCATTACTAAACACAGCACAAAATAGTATAGTATAGCATTGCTAAACATGGCACAAAATTTAGTATAGGTCACTTAATGTTTGTTTATTCAATCCAATGTTATTTACTTGTAAAGACAAGTGATCGGCATGCCATTAATTAAGCTCTTCATTTTCCCCTGCTTGTCCAAATATGCAGGCAGCAGATAGAACTGGACAGAGAAGAAAACAGTGATACCGACACATTTTTGGAGGAATGTGTGACAGATCCAATGCTCAGGGACAAACTGTCCATTCTGTCCAGAACATTCCAGAACAGAAAGAGAGTGAGTAACATGGCGGTTCTTTCTCACAAATCAGTGGTTCCAGTAGATTATGATAGCTCAGTGACTGTTTCATTACACCTGGATGTGCTTCTCCCCCACCATACAAACACACATGCATACATGCCCACCCCCCTCCAAACAGACCGACCAACACACTCACTCATACATTAACTGCTTGGAGATCTTATCACCTGAGCTGCATGCACTTACTTTTTGTTCCTAACTGAGAAGACCAGGCATCTAATCCACTACCCAGAGATCAGTGAGTAATTCTACAACATCCTTGGATTCTCTATTTGTAGTGGCAACTGCTTCTTCTTAGCATTTTCTGGCTGTTAACTCTGGCAAAAAGTTCTAGCAGTGCTAATCATCTTCCCTTTTACTTTGGTCTTGATCCATAACCTGAGTTTTGTGTGCACACCCGTTTGCAGATCTGGCTTATTTGTAAGCAGACTGTTAGTTCCTTGAATTTCTGGCAAATATAGACTCCGACTTTGAAAGAAACACCCCTAATTAGTCGCTCCTACATCATGGCTGCAAGGGTCATGCGGGTGGAGTTTCCATTCTCAAAATTGGAGCCTTAGAACCGACACAGGAAATGTACAGCTTCATATTTACTCAGCACGTGCTGAGCTAGAGATAGACCCTATATCTTTAAGGCCCTTCAAGTGAAGTGAAAAAAAATTGTGCTCAATCATATAGTGATTTACTCCTGTTTCAAGCAACACTTTATCTATGAGATTATGTGTATCTTTAGGCTGTGGATCTTCATAAATACTAATCAGTGTGTCATGTATGACTGTGCATTGTACATTTAGCCTGATTATACTTAAGAAATCTGGCAATGTATTTGTATTTACATGACATGTAAATTTAAGTGATACAATTATATTGTCTGTTGTTTTCATTCATTGGCAGCTGCATTGCAGAGTTAAGTGAAAGCCCTTTCATTGCACAGTACAGCAAAGGCCCATTTCATTGTATAGTAAAGTGAAAGCCCTTTCATTGTACAATAAAGTGAAAGCCCTTTCATTGTACAATAAAGTGAAAGCCCTTTCATTGTACAATAAAGTGAAAGCCCTTTCATTGTACAATAAAGTGAAAGCCCTTTCATTGTACAATAAAGTGAAAGCCCTTTCATTGTACAATAAAGTGAAAGCCCTTTAATTGTACAATAAAGTGAAAGCCCTTTCATTGTACAATAAAGTGAAAGCCTTTTCATTGTACAATAAAGTGAAAGCCTTTTCATTGTACAATAAAGTGAAAGCCCTTTCATTGTACAATAAAGTGAAAGCCCTTTCATTGTACAATAAAGTGAAAGCCCTTTCATTGTACAATAAAGTGAAAGACCTTTCATTGTACAATAAAGTGAAAGCCCTTTCTTTGCACAGTAAAATGAACACCCTCTTCATTGCACACTAGAGTGAAGGCTCCTTTTCACGCCTCAAAGTGCATTAAGCCTACACTGCTAGCCACATCTTTGTTGTAGAACAATCAGCATTCGATGAGTGATAAAGTAAAACAATCAGCATTCAATGAATGATAAACACATTTGCTTTCCATAAAAATTTCTACGATCCATTTAGTTGTGTAACCTAGAAGCCAAGGTGAGTTTTAAAAGAATTAACTTCATTGCATTTGCATACAGAGCCTGTCTCGACCCTTCGATCAGGCTCAAAGAATCACTTAGAACACTATTGCTAGTAGTCACTGCTAGCCTGCTGCACTGTTCTCCTTGCAGAGTCTGCTGTGAATGCCTGAGCACTTTTATGCCCTCATACAACAGATCCACCTTTGTGCATCAACACATCTGGCTCGGCTGGATTGTCATTGTTAATTGTGTTGACTTCTATATCGACAGCTACAGAATTCTGCTCCTGGCAGTTCCTATCAATCATGATAACACAAGAGAAGTGTGCAGTTAAGGTGTTATATGTACTTTTTATTATATACTATTTCCTTTAAATTTAATAATAATACAAAATCATATAATGTATTCTGTGACTTTTTAACATTTTGGTAAAGTAAACTAAGGAAATCAGTGGTAAGTTCCACTGTGTATGTGACCTCTGGAAAAAAAAAATCATCCATGACTTTTCACAGTAATTTCATCCCTTGAAAACCCAGTGTCTGACAGTTTGGTAGTGAAAGAGTTAATGAAATACTTGGCTGTGTTTCTTCTAAAGGCTGTTGAAAACAACCCCTTGGTGTTCCACGATGACATTGTGAGTATTGAGCCTGTGGAGGGGGATATCTGGCCAAACTCAACCATGGAGGTCACAGTGGTTTTCAGACCAAGGGAGGCAATCACCTACACCCACACAGCATATTGTGACATCAGTGGAAGAGAGAGTAGGCTACCCCTGCGTATCCGTGGTGATGGAATGGGACCAAAGGTTGACTTTTCCTTTGAACATCTAGAGATGGGTCACATCTTCATTGGTTTGAAACACATCTACGAGGTCGTGATAGCCAACAGAGGAGATATTGATGCAATTTACAGGTACTGGGCCTTGAGATTGTTTATCTTTTTTGAATAACTGCATGTTTTATTTTCTTTATTGAATAACTGCATCATCATCATCATCATCATTATCATGTCTTGCTAGCATAAATGTTTGATCATACCTTCCCTCAACCTTCATTCCCTAGCCCTGTATATCGTCTTCTTTTCATTCTACCTGCCAGTGGTTTTCAGATGAGATGGCCTTAAGCCTCTATGAAGACTGCACTGAGGCACATGCCTTCCACTGTTCCACATAGCTTGCTTTCCATTAGAATGCCAACCAGCAAAATCTGGGATCTCTCTGCTGCAAGTAAAGAGCATGTCTGCAGTAGATGCTTAGTGTTATTTGGTGCATGTCCCCCTGGGCCAAGTTCTGAGTCACCAGTCACCAGGCACCAGGCACCAGTCACCAGTCACCAGGCACCAGACACCAGGCACCAGGCACTAGTCACCAGGCACCAGTCACCAGTCACCGAGCACCAGTCACCGGGCACCAGTCACCAGTCACCAGTCACCAGGCACCAGTCACCAGTCACCAGGCACCAGTCACCAGGCACCAGTCACCAGTCACCAGGCACCAGGCACCAGTCACCAGGCACCAGTCACCAGGCACCAGACACCAGGCACCAGTCACTAGTCACCAGGCACCAGTCACCAGTCACCGGGCACCAGTCACCGAGCACCAGTCACCGGGCACCAGTCACCAGGCACCAGTCACTAATCTTGAAGCCCTGTGTTTGAACTTTTGCACTGATATATTTTTATATCATGATCTAGGACCCTCTCTCTCCTAGTTCCTACTAGAGACAGCATTGCAGATTTATATAATTTATTTCAATCAAATGAAAGAAGAAGAAGATTTCAGGTTTAAAAAAAAAAATGTAATTAATATCACGATAACAGAAAATTAGCTGCCATGTCATTCTGGTTTAAGGATTCTCTCATTTAAAGCTTTTAATATATGCATTTGCTGTTTAAATGATGACATATACTGTATTTATATGTTTATAGGCTGCAGTATTTAAACCGAAAATCATTGAAGCAAAATAAGGCATACATATTTGAGATATTTGGTCATTTGTACAAATTTGAATAATAAACGGCAGCTTTATCTAAATTTTTAGTTACCCCACACTGTAATTGGGTCTTTTATAACTTCAGAACATGTCTGTGAAACAAAACATTTTCTTTTGGTAGGTGTCGGAAAGTTACTGCACCATTATTGTCACCCACCGAATCATGAGGTCATTTTGTGCTGTAAATCCCCTTGCTCAGCCATAACTGGCTTTAAATTCACTTGCACATAATGCACCACTTGCCACATAAATTTACAACTGTAACTTACTCTTATGCAGACCATCTTTCACCACTTACAGGTACTACTTTTTCTGTGTTGATCTCTTGATGAAACTCCTAAAATTATCATTACAGAAACTGGGTTTGATCTATATACGTATGCAGCCTATACATGCCTAAATATGGTAGTTTTATTCCTGTATAAATTTTACCAGCTGCTCTGTCATCTTTTTTCCAGTGTGGTCCCAAACAACAGCATATTTGGACCATGCTTTGCATTCAACCCAGCAGAAGGAATTGTCATGCCTGGTGGCCATCAGGCCATAGAAATAGCTTTCTGCAGTCCTTACCTGGGAGACTTTGAGGAGATCTTTTGTTTCCAAGTGGATGGTCAGCCTCAACAGAGCACAGTTAAGTTTAGGTAAACTATTTTCTGTTGATTAAATTTGGTTTCTTCCAACTTTGAACCTACTTTAACTACAGTGAAAAGACAGAAAATGCAATGGTACAGACATGTAATAAGATCTGACGGCAGAAAATGCGATGTTACAGACATGTAATAAGATCTGACGGCAGAAAATGCGATGGTATAGACATGTAATAAGATCTGACGGCAGAAAATGCAATGGTACAGACATGTAATAAGATCTGACGGCAGAAAATGCGATGGTACAGACATGTAATAAGATCTGACAGCAGAAAATCCGATGGTACAGACATGTAATAAGATCTGACGGCAGAAAATCCGATGGTACAGACATGTAATAAGATCTAATGGACACTCAAAAACAGTATAACCGGGCAGTCCGGTACGATAGATTTTCTCAGCTCTGATGCAAATGCACTTGCCAATGAGCCAGTGAACTTATATACCAACTGATACTGTTATTAGGACGTCCAAACCTACGTATGTGCGCCAAGAAACAGATTATATTATTCGTACCCACACTGTGCTACCAGTGCCAGACTTGGACATTATCAAATGTTACTCTAGTAAAATTAACACTATGAAATGAGAAAAGCCGCTAACTTAACGAGACAAAGCTAGAAATAATATTATCGGACATTGCCTTTGGCATTTGCAGTTATTGGGGAGATTATACCATAATTGTTTACAGTTTTGAAAAGGTTACGTTACAGCACTGAAGTATGTGAGCTATAAACTACAGTAATGGTGAGAAGATGTTTTCTTCAACATGTACTAAAGAAGACTGAACATTGATAGACCACGTATAAAGTTGTCAATGAGTTCCAGTTCCCTTCTGCTTCAGAGGACACAAAAACCTGTTATATAGTGTACTTTTTTTTTTTTACAGTGGCCAGGTCATGGGGCCTACATTTAACTTCGATGTTGCCAAACTGAAATTTGGAACAGTCCCATTTGGCTTTCAAAGTTCACAGGTATGTATGTATCTTTACTTCTGTTTGTGATGTGGTGATTTCTGTCACAGGCGTGAGGTAAAGTTAAGTCCAACGTGATGTGTATAAGGGTCCCCACAACATGAGGGAACTGTATTAAAGGGTTGTGGCATAGGATGTTAGAGAGAAGCAGGAAGTAACAGTGGCCAATGTGTCATCATCATCATCATGGAACAGGTCCTTTGCACAGTGTTAGTGTCATCATGTTTTGTGATTGTGAGCCTCAGGTATTTTCACACTTAAAATATCTCAGAGAGCCTCTGTTCAGCTTTTATTTTTGTTTGATGATCTGCTGTTTGTCCAAGAGATATTAACTTGCAAAGTAATCTGCTTCTTCTTCCACAAATATTACTTGTTTGTGTGCTTATTCAGCCTCTTCTTGCAAGAATATTACCTTTTTGCTAGGCAGTGTGCCTCTTCTCCCAAAAATATTACCTTTTTGCTAGGCAGTGTGCCTCTTCTCCCAAAAATATTACCTTTTTTTGCTAGGTAATCTGCCTTTTCTCCCAAAAATATTACCTTTTTGCTAGGCAGTGTGCCTCTTCTCCCAAAAATATTACCTTTTTTTTTACTAAGTAATCTGCCTCTTCTTCCAAAAATATTGTCTTCCATTGCTGTACTTTACTTTAAAAAAAGGGTCTTTCATCTGGTCAATGCTTTTCAGTTATTGAGAGATGGCGCTGCAGGTCTGCCAAGAAAAGATATAAAACCGAAAAAACAGTATATTCGCGAGCTTCACGATATAAGAAATACAAACAATACATGATCGTTGCGGCTATGGAGCCATCATCAGCACATTCATAAATCAAATACCACACAAATATACAAAAATCACTAAACTTAGTATCTCTAGTAGGTCTTCCAGATTTGTTTTAAATCCATATTTTCTTCATCTTGATCCAAAATGTTCTAAGAATTATTCTGTGACATTGAGAGTTGACAATCATTTTTTTTAATCATTAGGGATTTTGAAGTGGCTCCAAATCACATTTCTGTGTCACAGGTTTTTCCACGCTTTCAGGTGAATTGGGTATTTATGGCTAGGCCTATATTTTGTAGACCAAACTGCTTATGGTGGATAAAGTGGTCAAAATCCCCGTGGCCGCCTTTACTTACCAGGACTTTTCCTGGTACCCACTCAAGGCTCTCGACCCGAGAGCCAAGGTCATTTTTCAAAAAAGTCCAGCCACCGTCAAAACCCCAACCCACGGTGTATATGTGTACAGTATAAAAATATATTTTAATAACTGTGTATGGATCTTATCATCACTATCATCCTGTCATGCCATTGTACGTCATAATGGGATACAAGTTTGATGCTCCTATCTGTTCAGTCCTGTGCCATCTTCAGTATCATAGATGGACAGGTGTTTTTAGAGAAGATATATAATTATTTGTGCCTTGAGTTATTTATCCATTTATGTACTTGTGTGTGTGAGTGTGTGTGTGTGTGGAATAGAAACAGTGTACTCTCTACTGAGGCAAAAATACCTATGCTGGCTGGGACAAAGGTTCTTGTGTATGGTAAACTGGAAACAGCAAAAAGATCTGTAAAAGGACAAAGCTACACTATAAGGCCATATTTAAATGCGGACACAGACACTTGGGAGAGATCAGCTGCAGGCCAACTCATATGAAGTCAGACTGTAAAAGGTGGACCAATGCACTTTTCTAGAAGCCTAATGCAGCGGACTGTTGTGAATAGATGACTGAGAGAAAACCAGCATCCGAATAACAGAGTATCAATGTATTAATGCAGTCATTGTGACAGGGACCGCCACTCTCACACTGGACTTTAACCACAGCAGATGAGGTTTTCAGAACCAGCAGGCACAACTCCATGATCCTTAGAGACTGACTGTCTACCTACTAATCTGCCTTAATCCAGTGAGCATTGAAATATATAATGATGATGGATTTGTTATTTTCATATGATCAGGTCTGCAACCTTATTAACACTTCACTTGTTCCGATGGTGTTTAACCTGCGTATCCCTGGAGATGGGACAAACAAGAGTATTTGCTGCACAGATGATGTTGAGAAAGCGCCACTTAGTGTGGGCCCTCTGCCAGCTGTCAACCCTCAAGAATTTACAATTATTCCTTCACATGGAGTTATCTCCCCACAAAGTCAAGTCAAGGTCAGAGACGCAATAGATGCAAACTTGTTTAAATAATTAAAATAATTATTTTCAAACACAGCAACAACAAAAAATATAGGGAAGAATTTATGTATTAAATGGAAGTCACTGATATTAGAAATGTTATTTTTATAATAGTATAATAATCATTTTGTTTACAAAGAACCATTGTCAACATCATCAATTGCCTTGATGACTGGTGTGGGTGATCATGCCTCTCCTCAGCTTGCGATCTCCAAGCATTTAGCTGCAAATTCTTGACAATTAGTTAATAATCAGTAAAATATTGGTCCATTGTAGCTACTTTTTTTTTTTTATTGGACGCCTTTGCAAAATCTAAGGATTTTGCACAGGGCTAAAACACAAAGGCCATTTTTCACACACATCAGACAGAAGCAGTTGATGAATTGTTTGACTAAATCAAGCAAGCCTGGTGTGTTTTGTGATGTGTAGGTTTTCTATAGTATATTCTTTTTCTGTGTGGATAAGTCAAACTTTACGAAAACCCGAGAACAACACAACAAGACTGTTTTTACATTGGAACTCACAGGAACATAGAAATAAACACAGACACACAACAAAACAAAACACACTGAGGACGTAAATTCAGAGAAAAGTTAACAGGATAATGGGGACATAAGGTGAGCTACATGCAACAGCAAAGGATAGGATGACTTGGCGTTATTTGGCTGGGCAACTATGATGCAATATGAATAAAGTGGCAGCTGAAGAATTCTCTTATCATGATTATTGGGTAAAGCTAAAAATGAGAAGCACACGTCTGCTTGATAAATATAAGAGCTGGATCACTAAAAAACCAACCCTCTGCTAGCTTTGCCATGGATAGGTCCCTAAATTGAAGATGGAAGAGACAAAAGCACCAAACAAATTATGTATTATCTCCCCAGTGAAGGTTGACTGTAGTCACCTGCAGCTGTGACTTTTGTACAACTGTCAAAACACCCGAGAACAAGTTCTTTACTCAGGTGTGGCTCTGATCTCATCCATGGTTGTGACTTTTGTACAACTGTCAAAACACCTGAGAACAAGTTCTTTACTCAGGTGTGGTCTGATCTCATCCATGGTTGTGACTTTTGTACAACTCAAAACACCTGAGAACAAGTTCTTTACTCAGGTGTGGTCTAATCTCATCCATGGTTGTGATTTTTGTACAACTGTCAAAACACCTGAGAACAAGTTCTTTACTCAGGTGTGGCTCTGATCTCATCCATGTTTGTGACTTTTGTACAACTGTCAAAACACCTGAGAACAAGTTCTTTACTCAGGTGTGGCTCTGATCTCATCCATGGTTGTGACTTTTGTACAACTGTCAAAACACCTGAGAACAAGTTCTTTACTCAGGTGTGGCTCTGATCTCATCCATGGTTGTGACTTTTGTACAACTGTCAAAACACCTGAGAACAAGTTCTTTACTCAGGTGTGGCTCTGATCTCAGCCATGGTTGTGACGTTTGTACAACTGTCAAAACACCTGAGAACAAATTTTTACTTAGGTGTAGCTCTGATCTCATCCATGGTTGTGACTTTTGTACAACTGTCAAAACACCATGAGAACAAGTTTTTACATTTAATTGTTAATAAACCACTTCTTTTTATTTTTCTTCTCTAGTCCTATATTGTGTTTCAATGTCAAGTTTTGTAGAGGCATTGGTTGAGAGCGTTGATTTGTGCTACATAGGGGCTCATATTTACAGGCTAGGCTACTTCATCTGTCCATCGTTTGCGTGGTCGACCTCTAGTTCTGCTTCAGTTATGTCTAAGTGACAGGGTTCTGGTGGTAGTCTTGACACATGTCCATATCATTTGATCTGTTCTCTCTTGCTGTATAGCACTGGTTGCGTCCCTGACATCCGCCCTGATATCCTCGTTTCTGATCCTGTCTCTTCTAGTTACATTTAGGATCAACCATACACCATGTTAATAAAACCCTGGGAGGGTGAGGATTGTGGCATTGTGAAACACATTCACTAACTTCAAAGCCACAGAGTCATACTGTGCAAGCATGGTAATCTTTTTAAAATGAAACCAAACAAACCAGTTTTGCTGTGTAGTTAGTATGTTTTTTTCACCATCTTATAATAACTTCTTGCAGGTGACGGTCAACTTGGTTCCAAACACTGTGAGAAAATACGAGGTGGCCCTGGTGGTGGATGTGGAGAGAGTCGGAGAGGAGATCATTTCTTTGCCTATCACTGCTAAGTAAGTTCTTATAACAGATACGTGTGTTGGGCTGAGGTGATCTCATGTTGAATCTTGCTGCAGTAAAACTTTAGACTACATTATTACTTTTTTTATAACCATTACTTTTATTGCCACAATCATCATTAGCAGTATCCACCACCATATCATTATCATCATAATTATCAACATAATTATCATCATAATTATCATCAATGCTGTCATAACCATCAGATGTTGGCCTGACCCCGGGTTGGAAGACTGTTTCAAGGACAACAAAAGAAGAAGAAGGAGAAGAAGAAGGAAAAGAAGAAGAGGCAGAGGAAGCAGAAGAAGAGGAAGAAGAAGGAAAAGAAGGAGGAGAAAAAGAAGAAGCAGCAGCAGCAGCAGGAGAAGGCAGCGGAAGAAGAAGAAGAAGAAGATTTTTCCTGTTGTTACAATAAAGTTTTGCATTCCTTTTCTCATACTTGTATGCAGATTGTTGGTTCCTTACCTTTCTGACAAATGCACCCCATTTTCCAAGGAAACACCCTGAATTAATTGCCATGGACAACATGCTTGTTGGGGAGGGGGGAAGGAGGCAGTAGGTCTATTTTCTCACCCAAATGTTGAATCTTGTATTAAGAATTGACATCATAGCATTCTGGACACTCCCATAAGTGCTCCATCCCCTTCTTCAGCATCAAGCAAAGAGTTCCAGTTATGACAGCACCAGTACCTGCGCCCCCCCCCCCCCCTTATATTTCCAGATAAGGCCATGGAGCCCACTCAGAGATAATTGTATACATTTATTTTGTAGACTTTTTGTGCCATTTCTTAAGTGACTGTCACCTTCCTCTCTGTTCAGATCATTGGTCCCAGAGATAACCAGTGCCATGCCAGTACTCAACTATGGGCGATGTTTCTTACGCTACCCTTACGAACAACAAATCAGCTTGCACAACGACACGGATCTGGCAGCAAAGTATGAGATTGTTCGTCAGAATGAGGATCATGCAGAGACTCTTCCAATCTCATATGGAAGTCCCAAACCGAAGGTAAGTTCTCTCTCTTCAGTCTTTTGTCCCTCATTAGAACAAAGGCCTCCAAACAAAAGCTTTTACTGTCTCATGCAACTCACTCCATGATGTTCCTATATTGTCCATATCTTTTTGTACTTATCTTCTCCGTGTATTTTAAAGTAATGTCTCTCCTAAGCCTAGGGGTGTGGTAAAGAACTTTCTAGTTACACTGTCATGAGGTTATTCATTGTGTGTCCTCTCCATCAGTCCAGGACTGCAGCACTAGGGTGTGGGTCAAAATCCCCAGGCTCAAAGACCCTCCTGCATACACTGCAAAAGAGGTAAAATACAGGCAGTAAAAGCAATTATTTTTTTTTTTCAACTTTTTAAAATGGCAGTTGAATTTTTTTATTCAAATGTTGTCTTTTAATGGGACCGCAATATTCAACTTGTCTTTTTTTTTTTTTTTTTTTTAAATCGGCTCTCATTTAATTTCTTACCTGCCCAGAATTTGTATTTGATTATTTTTGATTGAATGAAATATGACTTAGTCTTCTGGGTATCCACATAATCAGCACCTTAAGTTGACTTGACAATGAGACTTTGTAAATGAGATTTAGAAAAATAATCAGAAGTCGTGTGATTTGTATATGCATCTGTTTTGTTTTATCATAGGGTATCATTCCTGCACAGTCAGTGGTCAGTGTACCACTTGTTATCCAGGCAAACATCCTGGGAGAGCAGGAGATGGTTTGTTTTGTCAACATTTTTGGAGATCCAAACCCTCTTGTAAGTAAACTAATGTTTGTTTTGTCAACATTTTTAGAGATCCAAACCCTCTTGTAAGTAAACTAATGTTTGTTTTATCAAAATTATTAGAGATGCAAACCCTCTTGTAAGTAAACTAATGTTTGTTTTATCAAAATTTTTAGAGATGCAAACCCTCTTGTAAGTAAACTAATGTTTGTTTTATCAAAATTTTTAGAGATGCAAACCCTCTTGTAAGTAAACTAATGTTTGTTTTATCAACATTTTTAGAGATCCAAACCCTCTTGTAAGTAAACTAATGTTTGTTTTTCAAAATTTTAGAGATCAAAATTTGTAAGTAAACTAGTTTGTTTTTATCAGAGATGCAAACCCTCTTGTAAGTAAACTAATGTTTGTTTTATCAAAATATTTAGAGATGCAAACCCTCTTGTAAGTAAACTAATGTTTGTTTTATCAAAATTTTTAGAGATGCAAACCCCCTTGTAAGTAAACTAATGTTAAATTTGAAAATGAGGTGAAATCTATTCACTCATCAGTATTGAATGTCCGGTGAACATTTCTGTGTTATGTGAACTATTTATACACAAATACCAGAGGCCCTAATATGAGAAAAGGAGCACTAAACTTTACTGTAACAACAGAAAAATGTCTACTTCTTCTTCTGCTCCTTCTTCTTCTTCTTTTGTTGTCTCACTGATACAAGGTTGTAGCCCAGTTTTCTCTTTATTTGTCTTGTACTTCCCAAGTGTCTTGGGTGATAGATTTGTTCATCTTTCGGCATGTGTCAGCTAAACAATTTATCAGTTTCTTGCTTGGACTTCATCTCGCCTTCCTCCCAGACGTTCTGCTGTGAAACATTTCATATATTAAGTTTGGTCTGGCTGCGTTTTCATTAGATGGTCAACCACTTCATTCTTTCTCTGTCAAAACAATTAAGACATGGTTTTATTCCAACTTTCTCTCTATTGCATTCATTCGTCCCTTCTTGCATTTATAGTGAGTTGAACAATAAGACCAATAACTCTTGTTCCATGTGTGTCGCCACCATTTTCTTCAGTGCCGCCAGCCCACGCTTGCATTTGATCACAGTCGGCTCCACGTGATATCTGTAGGACAGTCTGCGATCAAATGTCAAACCTAAGTATTTCAGCTTATCTCTTCTTTCAACATTAAAACCCTTCATGGTTATGTGGGGCAAGTCTTACTTTCCAATGCTGTTATTCAAAGAGCACCACAAAACACTGGCATTCTCTGGGTTAAATGAATATGAAAAAAAAAAAAAATATGTATAGACAGACTATCATCATAGTTTATGGGGAGATATAACACACTGATTCATTATTTTTTATGAAGATAAAGTTTGTTGATGATTAGACAGTTAACATTGTTTATGTCCTTTTTCTTGCTTTTTTACTCTGTGGCTTGGACATTAGTGAAAGAGTTTACCAGTTTCATTATCCTTGAGTCTGTGGTTCGATTTCTGCATAAATTTCTGATGTGGTACTAGAGTGGCATGGTAGAAGAGAATGAGGCCTCATGACCTAATATTCCAAACAGACAGTATTGAGTCTGTTGAGTTTGTAGCCAGTCTTCATTGTCGAGAAGGCAAACAGTTTAATTTAATTAATAATTTTGATAAATGTTTGTGTCTGTAAACATTTGTGTCTGTGTCCTGGCTTCTTCTTCTTCTTCTTCGCTTCCTCTCTTACTGCTTCAGGTGTCAAAAGAGATATAAGGTTCTGCTTCTATCTCTTCTAACCACCTCAACAATAGACACATCCTGCTGTTGTATAGTTTCTCTAATGTTCTGTTTCCATCTCATTCTTGGTGTAACTTGTGCCCTGTGTCCTTCTCCTCTTTTGGTGTATGCCCTGTATGGTATGGCGCCACAGGGCATTCTCTCGAAGTAGACAAACTTTTTGATTTGCTGTCTTTGTATATAATTGAGAGCTGGTTCTGTGCTGACTTGTTTGTATGTTTATTTTTGTTGAAAAATTGATGAATATGTGTATCTCTGCAGGCTGTGACCATTGTTTGTGTTGGAGAAGGACCAGTTGTACACTTCAACCCTCATTCTCTTGACTGGGGAGATGTCCCAGTGCTCGTGGACAATGAGAAGATGTTGACATTGTCCAACGAGTCTTTTATTCCTGCACAGTTTGAAGCTCGTTTGGTAGGCTGTTTAAATTAGTGCAGGTTTTTCTTACTGTTGTTTTATTTGGTTTGTGAGGGATCACCTTATCTGTCTGTGGATACCTCTAAAATTATTCTGGTCTCCTACCATTGATAAAAATACTGACACAATCATATCACCGTTGTTAGAAATACTGCTGCAAGTAGCACCATCTCTGCCACAGCTTGTCACCAGTAGCACTGCCCTTACCGCAACCACCTTTGCCCTTACCGCAACCACCACTGCCCTTACCGCAACCACCACTGCCCTTACCACAACCACCACTGCCCTTACCGCAACCACCACTGCCCTTACCACAACCACCACTGCCATTACTGCCAACATCGATGGCTACCATTGCTACACCATCATCTGTACCACAACCACATCACTAATATCACCACCACCATCATTTTCACTGTCAGTGCCATTGCTATTATCATCACCACCATTATCACTGCCATTACCACCATCACTGCTACACCATAATCTCTGTCACGACTATAAAACTACTGTCACCATCACCGCTGCCACCATTACTACCATCACTGCCATGGCTATTACCGTCACAATCATCACTATTACTACCATCACTGTCATTGCTATCACCGTCACAGTCATCACTATTACTACCATCACTGTCATTGCTATCACCGTCACAGTCATCACTATTACTACCATCACTGTCATTGCTATCACCATCACAATCATCACTATTTCTACCATCACTGCCATTGCTATCACCGTCACAATCATCACTATTACTACCATCACTGTCATTGCTATCATTGTCAAAGTAATCACTATTACTACCATCACTGCCATTGCTATCACCGTCACAGTCATCACTATTTCTACCATCACTGCCATTGCTATCACCGTCACAATCATCACTATTTCTACCATCATTGTCATTGCTATCACCGTCAAAATCATCACTATTACTACCATCACTGCCAGTGCTATCACCGTCACAGTCATCACTATTTCTACCATCACTGCCATTGCTATCACCGTCACAATCATCACTATTACTACCATCACTAATCATCACTACCACCATCAGTCATCACTGTTTCTACCATCCTTGCTATTAACATCACCACCATTATCACTGCCATTACCACCCTCACTGCTACACCATCATCTCTGTCACGACTATAAAACTACTGTCACCATCACCGCTGCCACCATTACTACCATCACTGCCATTGCTATAACCGTCACAATCATCACTATTTCTACCATCACTGCCATTACTGCCACCACTACACTATCATCTCTGCCATCACTACACTATCATCTCTGCCATCACTACACTATCATCTCTGCCATCACCACACTATCATCTCTGCCACCACCACACTATCATCTCTGCCACCACCACACAATATCACTCTTACTACCATCACTACACTATCATCTCTGCCACCACTACACTCATCACTATGCCACTACCATCACTGCCATCTCTGCTATCACTACGTATCATCTCTCATCACTATTACTATCATCACTGCCATTGCTATCACCTCTCACCATCATCACTATCATCTCTGCCACCACCATCACTGTCATCTCTGCTATCACCGTCACACTCATCACTCTGCCTACCACTACACTGTCATCTCTGCCATCACCACACTATCATCATGCCACCATATACTATCATCACTGCCACTACACTATCACCTCTCACCACTCATCACTATCATCTCTGCCATCACTGCCTAACTATCACTGCACACCACTATTACTATCATCTCTGCCACCACTATACTATCACTCTGCCACAGTATCACTATCATCTCTGCCACTGCCTATACTAACATACCACTATCACTATCGTCACACCACACTATCATCTCTGCCACCACATCACTGCCATTGCTATCACCACTCACAGTCATCACCACCATTACTATCATCTCTGCCATTGGCTATCACCGTCACAGTCTCCACCACTATACTATCACTCTGCCACCACTATCACTATCATCTCACACACCACCATCACTATCATCTCTGCCACCACCACACTATCATCTCTGCACCGTCACTACACTATCATCTCTGCCACATCACTACCATCACT